GATTTACCGAGCTTAGATTCGAGGTTATGGACTTGATAACCATTTGTTTTCGGGTTGTCGACTCGATCTTTAAACCAACTTGTATTTCTACGGTACCCATGTGACCCCTTTTTTTTACGATGAAAATAGAAACACTGACGCCGAAGGAAGGTAAATTGTTCGAATTTCACTCGAACATTATGATTTTTCTAAAGCAAATTCAACAAATTTTGTCGATCTTGATCGTTATTTTGACCAGAGCCGAGATCAGACCACAGCATTCGGGGAGTCAAGCCAAACTTTTTATGCCCGGTAGCCACCAAGAGGTGCAATTGGAATTGCAAAACCCTTAGAATCCTGCGAAATGTATGATCCTAAAACGTTAATGTTCAACGTAACGTAGTTCGTACGAAACTATGGGGATCATCGCTCAACGCGTAAAATAGAGCATCCAGATAGAGGCCGATCTACGAGGCAGCTTTCCGCGGAGGGGCGTTGAGATTCTTTGAAAATTGACGAGTGCATTTGGCAGTCCTCGCGTACGTCGGCTGCAGGCAGCTGACACACTTTTTCGCTTCTTCCTCTTCTTTTTTTTTACAAGAGACCGCGCGTTCTTTGGCGATGCCAAGCCTTCGCGCACGTACGAACTACCACTGCCTCGCCGTTACAGTTCTTTTTTCAATGCGCGATTCTTTACGGGCGCGCGAGCAGGCCAATCTTTATTCTCGGTGGCGAGTTCTGACGGAAGGATCGTCGCCTCGGGCTGAACAAATTGTTGCTTTGTTTTGGCGAAAACCACGTATAAAATCGGCGACTCGGTCCGAGAAAAATACTAACGCGCTGTCGTTTCTGTTTGTTACAGGTGAGTGGTCGGATCAGCAGTCGTAGGACCGTCCGTTGAGCACGTAGGCGCTAAGGCAGTCGTCGGCGTTTCTCGTCCATGCCAAGTGCGCGTGCAACGCACACGTAAGCCATTGTCGATAATTGAATCGCATGACCAGAGAAGGCAGCACTGCCAGTGTCGAGCAGAGGGAAGGGCCAAGACGTTGCTTCGGGAGAGGTAGACAAGTCGATCAATGAAAAGGAAAGGGGTAGAATCGATGCCCGCGAGTTCCTCCGTTGCGGCGTGAGGTGCGAGCAACAGCGGCAGCTTCTTCGCGAAATGCCACCTGCCCCTCGCCTCGAGTCCAAGGGGGTCGAGTGGGTCCCGGTTGTAGCGCCTTCTGCCGAAGAATGCTCGATTGCCACTCGACCGATCTCTCGAGTCGACAGCCGTCGCGCGTAGACCGCTCGCCGCTCTTCTCCTTGCTTTATTTGCGCGTCGAGTGTATCGGTGTGCCACTTGAGCGCCTAATTGCCGGCGCCGCGCTTGGCGTGACGTCGAGGCTAACGCTGGATCGAGGCAACTGCCCGTGCTCGGCCGAGGCGCTCCTCCGACGCGTCCGCGTCCGGCATCCTGCGTATAGTCTCCCTCCCCCCACCGTCGAGCTTCGCCTTCGCCTCGTTTCCCGACGAAACGAACGGCAGGCCGTCGGAGTTGCGCGCACGCGGCGGTTTGCTTTGTCAAACCTGCCGACGGACTCGGGCTGCTCGCCTCCATTTTGTCCCCTCCGTCGCGGCGAAAATAACCCCGGCGGCGAGTCCTTAGCGGCCGGCCCGAAATAGCGCCACAGACCAGGTCCGCTGTTTTATTCAACGCCTCTACTCCGCGATCTTTCGGCTGCTCCTCTCGCGCGACGAGAGAACAGTATGAGCGCTGCAGCCCTTTGACGCCTGCATTGCCAGCTGATCGGCATTGACGTGCGTATGCGAGGCTTGGCGCGTCGAATCGAAAATTACACCGGCGAGCCGCCGGGGCACACCGGGAATCGAGGCCTAGTTTGTCGCGGCCGCGGCAAATCAATTTTGCGTAAAGGCTCTCCGGCTGCCTTATCGCTGCTATACATCGTCTGTCTGCTGGGGCTGCACATTTAGAGAGAGCTGACCTCTCCATTTCACTGCTGGTCTAGATTTGGCTGCGGCCAAAGCGGCGCTCCGAAAGGAGCTCGCGCTGTTATGTGACGGCTACCCGCTGTTGGCCCGCAACGTCAAATTCTTATCGGATCAACGTCTCCGTCTTGCTTTCGAAAGGATCCCCCTTTCCGATCGATTTTCTGGCTGCGTTGCTTTTTTTCAGGCCGCGTCGCTTGCGATTGCGCGAGGTATCAACGCCGCAGCCCCCCCCCCCCCCCTCCCCGGCCGGGATATAATTTCGAGGCGAGTAGCTTTGCGAGCAATCGGAGCAATCAGTGCCGACTCTTGCATGTGTGCGCGTGTACAGGCCAAAAGGACAGGGAGACCCTCGAGCCGAGAGTTACGCGCTGAATTTCAGTTGACTGCACAACTGCAATTTGTCGCAGAACCAATTACCGACGAATACTTCTTTTGTTCATCTAAAGCAGAGCTAATGAATTAGACTTTTTTTCGCTAATATTTCCAGTGTCATCGGTACTTATTATATAAAAGAAAAAGAGAAAAAATTTGATTTTGAAAGGGTATCGTGAAAAGTTTCGGGAGTGTCAGCCGCTGTCTGGGAGCGCCTCAATGGAACGCAAAAGTCACGCGAGCTCACATGCAGCGCGCAAAAGTAAGCGTCGTTTCGGGCAAGAGCTCGCGCACCTAGGCAGCCCAGCGAGGCGCGCGGCTGCTTTCCGCAGTCCGAGGCAATGCGTCGGCCGGGGCTAATTGAGCAATTAAGCGCGCGGCGCGCGTGTCGCCGCAATTTTCGCCGATTAAGCGATCGCTGAACCAGGCGGCCGCTCGCCGCTCCTCTCGGGGGAGACCCGTTTGCGCACCCGCGAGCTCGCCTCGACCGTTCGATCGCCCGACCTCCAGTCCGACGAGCAGCGGTCGCGCAGCTCGCCTTTCGTCTCCGACTCGCCAACGCTCGACCTCCGGACTGCAACGATTGCCGCTCGGTCCATCGAGTTTCGAAACTCGCCGTCGCCTTTCTCGCGCTTCGCCGATGCGAACGCGTAAACGCCGGCAGCGCCTCACTTTTCTCAAGCTGTTCACTGAAAGCTCGCTCGGGTCTTATCATCAAGCCCGAGCTTAATTAAAGCATTGACCTAATTAAAGTCGGTGCGCGGAGCTGAGCGCCGATTACAGAGAGCCAGAGGAAAGCAACGAGTCGTCTGGTCAGATCGCTGTTCGGAGGGAGGGGAGAGAAAAACGCAGCAGAGCTCCACGTCGCCCCGACTAGCCGGGCGCGCAATCGTGCAACAGCGAGTCGGCCGGCCGGATCGAAGGGCATCTGCGATGCGCGGCTCCCTGGGCTCGATGTCCACTCGAACCGGGAGGACAGCCGTTGCGCACTTGTTGCTGCTTATCGGCGATCGCTCGCGACCCAATTAATAGAGCCGCGCTTCGCGCAGCGGCGTCGTCGCTGCCTTTCGCTTTGAATTATTCATCGGGACGTCGTCGCTGCCGCGCGGCGCATTGTTCGTCGCTCGTGTCATCCGCTGCTGACAATGCCGACGACCACGCTCCGCGCTGCCGACCAGCATCTCGAACGACCGAACGCTCGCGTTACTACGTTGTTGTTGTCGCCACCGATTTTTCGAAAATTCATCGCACATTTCACGCGCGCCCTCGGTCGTTTTGCGCAGCGAGGCGACAACGAGCGCCTTGAATGACGCGCCTTAGTCACGTAAAAAACGACCAGATAATAAATGTTTCAGCGCGAGCTCGAGATGGAAGAGTTGATTTTCTTCAAAATACCGGCTGACGCTCGTTATCGGCTTTTGCTTCGCCGCACAGGAAGTCTCTAGTTAGACTTGTGCTTTTCAGTGTTACTTGCGAGCAGACTTTGTCCACGCTTTCCTCAAGCTTTCCAAACATTGCTTTTGAATGTCTTTGCACCCTCGCGGAGAAAGCCCGATGCGAAGATAACAGCAGAAGAACCGACAATGAAATTGCGATCTCGTTAACCTTTGCTTGACGAAAGCGCGTGAAAAAAAGCCGAGGAAAACTAATGGGAAAACAACCGTAACTGAAGCTCTGAAATGTTTGCAGGCATACGTCTGGCTGTTGGTGCGAAGCTGTTTTGAGGCGGTGGTGAAGACAGCAAAGCGAGGAGGACAAGCAAATCTGTCGTTGGAAGAACGGAGGTGATTGCAAGATGCGCGAATACAAGATCGTGGTGTTGGGCAGCGGTGGCGTTGGCAAATCCGCGCTCACCGTGCAATTCGTCCAGGGCATCTTCGTGGAGAAGTACGACCCGACCATCGAGGACAGTTATCGCAAGCAAGTCGAGGTCGACGGCCAGCAGTGCATGCTCGAAATACTCGACACCGCCGGCACGGTAAACACATTACTCCTTCGCCATCTTATCCTTTAACTTGCCCCTCGAATCGTTTGGAAACCAATCGCTCGTGGCTTTAAATGAATATATCCCGTCAACTTCCGCGCGTTCAAGTTGATATCATCATTAGAAAATCTTTTCTTTGACTCTTACATTTAGCCAATTTAAGTAAAAACAAGTCTCTGATAATCTGCAGCAGTAGGTCAATAGCCAAAAATGAGCTCTCACGCAAACCATTGGGATGAAAATATTGCCTGCAGGAGCCTGCGCACAAGCCATAGCATTCATAGCAAAGCATAAAATTCCATTTAAATTATCCTGGGATCAAGCTTTATAGCTTTTTTTGTTCCGATACACTCATCTCACCGCGACTTTTCAATACTGACTTTACAATGCTTTCGTAAATTTTGGTTAATCTCTGACACAAGGATCGTAAATTCGATTTGCTGGACTGTTTTGTCGCAGTCAGTCCCCTTAACCAACAAAAGTAATACAGCGATTGCGTTTCTCCAGAGTTAAATTGGCAATAGACGCAGAGGCTAATTCAATAAGTAATTCTGAGGCTTTGTTAACGAGGCAGAGAGTTGTGGTATCGATGCCAGCGAACAAAAGAGCCACAGACTTTGAAAGTTGCTTTCACGTACCAAGCAAAACAATGTCTGTGGCTTTGTTTTTTCCTGGATTGAAAAATTAAGGGCAGCGGAAATTGATCGAACAAATTCGGGTCAAAGAGTAATCAGTTGGTCGTCGTTGCAGGAACAATTCACGGCCATGAGGGATCTGTACATGAAGAACGGCCAAGGCTTCGTGCTGGTATACTCGATAACGGCTCAGTCAACGTTCAACGACCTGCACGACCTGAGGGAGCAGATACTACGGGTAAAGGATACGGACGACGTGCCGATGGTCCTAGTCGGCAACAAATGCGACCTCGAGGACGAGAGGGTCGTGGGCAAGGAGCAGGGCAACAATCTCGCCCGCCAGTACAACTGCGCCTTCATGGAGACATCTGCCAAAGCTAAAATTAACGTTAACGATGTAAGTCGGGAGCTGAGCCATGGTACGTCGCGGTTCCTCTGACTGGTGCTTTCCTTTCAGATTTTCTACGATCTGGTGCGACAAATCAACAAAAAGTCACCCGAGAAGAAGACAAAGCAGAAAAAGAAATCGCTGTGCCTAGTGCTGTAAAGTAGCGGTCAGGCCTGTGCCCTGTGTTCTCGCGTTATTAAACAAGAAACAAACAAATTAACAAAGCAGAAGAAGCAAAGCGACAGCACCATCAGCAAAGTTTAATAAAAAGCAACAACAAAATCTACAAAAGTCACGTCATTCGAACAAAGCCGAGGATATACCAGTGCATCGGTTGAGGGTTCACGGATAATCAGACGAACTTCAAACGAACAGATATTCTATAACACACTCATTCTATTTCAGAGTCACAATCGCAAACAGCAGAGAAAAACGCGACAAAAATGAATAAAACACTATGTAGAGTTAACGAAAGAGCTATGTATTAAACACGGTAGGGCTTTATACATAAACAAATGAAAACAAAGGGGAGGGCTAATGATCGCACGATAAATGCTACCGCAGTAGATAGGATTGTGAGAACGAGGTTATGAGTTGTTTGCCAGGAGCCAAGAACAGAAAATATACCAAGAACCAAGAAAGAGGAGGAACGGATTATACGTGTTTGGGAAATTTTATGAATAACTTGTATATATATACATTTTTCGGTTCCGTGTTTGGCGCGCGCAACACGCCCCACAAAACGTGATGCAGTCACGAAGAATGAAAAATGTCGACAGACTGTGAGAGATAGACAAAGAGAGCGAATTATATCTTTAATCAAAAAAAAAAGAGATATAACGGCATTTTTATTCACACATGCAGCCACACACGCGAACTTTTCATCTTTACTTTCACAATTAAACCTTCCTTACCCCTTTTTTTAATTTACATTTTTTAATCATCCATTATTAGCGGACAAGAGATATTAATTAATTGATCGATTAATTAGCATTGCAAACTATACGAGAGGCTGAGAATTTCTTTCGAAGAACGGTACGTGCTGCAGTGTTATAATTAGCGCCAGCAACGGTGTGATTCGAAACAAAATAAAACAAAGACGTAAGAACTAAATGACAATGATAATAAACAAATTGCGAGAAAGTGTACGCGAGAGCGAGAGACACTTACTTTGTGTGAATGCTGCGACGAGAGAGATGTACGAGGGTTAAATGACTGTGGAAAATATCAGCGGTGTAATAACAACCAAACAAAAATAACGCATGAAAAACGCAAAATAAGATATTCAGAAGTGCGCCCTTAACCGCAATTGATGCGCGCATCTCTCTTATATAATATGATAATTATACATAGACGATACATACCATGAGAATAAAAAATGATTATTATCGAAGCATCAAAATATTCGTAAGTTATCGACAGTTTGTTTCTCGATCAATATATGTTTTTTTTCTATATCTCTCCTTATTAAAAAAAAAGAAAAGATAGAAAATAATAAAAAAATTCAGTAAGTGTTAAAAGAACGATTTATTCAAATTATATCGCACTCGGTGTCCTTCCCTAAACACCCGTCCCTTCAACTCTCCGAAATAAAAACACTATCCACCCCCTCGAAGAAGGCTTTCGTCTAGCGAACCTTGAGTCATATACTTGTTTAAGTGCCTTTTTTTTAATGGAAAAAATGATGAAAAAAATAACGGAGAATGATTTTTGCATAAGATTTTTTTAATACTTTCGTAGTTATGTAATTGATAGAGTTTTAATAGAATTCGTTTTTAATTATATTCATAAGAATATAGAATTTGATTAATTTACGTTTTTTAAAAGAAAAAATAACCGAGTTGGTTTATGAACACACGATTAAGGACAAGAGCAAAATACTACGAGTTTTGCCATTGAGTTTTGTGTTGGCAAGTTTTGTCGCTTTAGTTTGCTTTGTATAATGCAACAAATTTTAAAAGTAACTGTGGAGAATCAATAATAGTCTTCAATTAATATTCTGTATGAAGCGTGAAGGTGTGGCAATGAAGAATTAACATTGTGGATACTAATAAAAATATTTTGGAAAAATGTTTAATCTGCTGTGTAGATGAATTTTGATGTTTTGCGTAAAAATCCTGTAATGAATTTAAAGAAAATCTTAAAAATTGTACTTCATAACATTTCGATTTTCATATAATCAGTGTGATGGAACAAGTGGAAAAAAATAATTCGTGAATTCCTAAATACGACTCTGAGTAAAGTTAATCGCATTCCGAGTATAGATTTGTTAGGAGCAATGTTTGTATATTCTTGTAAGATTTTCTTGTTTCTCATCTCTACGCGGTTAACTAACTTTAAGCGCTACGTTATTATTATAATTATATGCATTAAATTAAGGCCTTTATACTAATGAAGAAGAAAGCTTCGTGAAATTGACATCGATGTAATCGATTCGTCTTTACAAAAATACATTTTCTTTTCATTTATTCGTTTTATTCACAGAACATTCATTTACCTAACAAATTTCACAACAGAGTCACAAACAATAACAAAACAAACATGTTTATCAATTAAAAATCATTTCCGTTGCATAAGGAATATAAGGGAAAAAGCTTAATTATTTATATATCTTTTTACACACATTTTCTTGTTCCTTATCTAATGTTACTCTAAATAACCAACTTACAAGAGAAAAGTATCCGATTCGATGTTGATTCATAACAAAATTTTTTCGTGTTAAACTAGCAATCATTCTTCAAACATGTAGACAAATTTTTTTTTGGTCTAACTGATTGTACGGTGTATGTTGAGGATTGAAAAAAAGAAAAGAAAAAGCATAATGACGGTCGAGAAATTTTAAACCAAGTTCACGGCCTTGCTAAAACACTTATATATGCGAATCTTCATTTTCGCCGAAGTAAGTTAGTTACTTAATTTATATAGCGCAAAGAAACAACAATTCGAATTGTGAACGACGAAGACACGGCAATACTCCTGGTTTTTTAAGATTCTCATGCAAGTTCCAAACTATATATACATTTACCCTGCTTTTTACGATGAATCCATTACGTTTCCAATTGTGAACTGAATATTAAGAATGCAAAAAATTGAATTAATCTGCTAAACGGTTTGTTAGTAACGTATGTAAAAAGGTGTTGCAATAATTTAAAACTAGTACAGTGACTTGTAAAAACAATAAATCAATTTTTCGTAAATACGTTTTTGACAATTTATGTTTTTACAGTTTCCTAAGCGTCATTCCTTATTCACCACCTCATTAGAATGTTTCAAATGATTTATGAAAGATAAACGTACGTTGATATGAAAAAATAGGATTTTTCATCACATTCACAAATGTAGTTGGATTAATTATTTAGTAAGTTTCATTGAGTAACTAATACAAGACTTTTTACATTGATTATCATTTCCCCAAATAGTGAAATAATAAAATATTATGTACGTGCTCATACATCCTAACGTTGTATATTTAAAAGATGTCTGAAACAAATTTCTGCACCAAAGAAATGTAAGCATTACCTCTGAATGTCGAATAAAATTATTAAATTTTTTGTTCGCTAAATATTTAAATTATTTGAATCAGAAATATAATATATCTAGGCGCAGAAATTTCACTGCTACTCCTGCTGCATTCATTGAAACTTTGATGCCTGTTTTGCAATAAAAGCTATGTGCCGCTAATCATTTCTATCTTAATTTCAAATAAGCTTTCTATCAGAAATCTGTCTCTTTGCATTTTCAGGTCTTGCAGCATTGCAATTTCGATTTATAACTTTATTATCTTAATTTCAACTCCTTTCAAACGAGTTAATAAAGTGTTTTCTCGTAAATTTTTTCTTCAAGTCATGCTAGTAGAACATTTTCATATTACAAATTTTCGATATTTTTAAAATAACCTTTCTTCATTTTAAAATGCTCGAATCTGTATAGATTGCAATAATCATTTTCTAAATAGTAATATTACAACTATTAAAATTTATATAAACGACATGTTCCAAGTATTTTATTATCATGTTCAATATATTTTTTTTAATTAACTAAGTTGGTCATTCTTTTTTCGATTATTTGAGTGATTCTTGAAAAAATTATTGACACGAGGAAAGAAAACATTGAGTTGGTGATCGAAGAAGCTATCTATAAAATATTTAAACTTTGAGCTTTCGTATAACAATTATCGAGAAAGTTTGATGGAATCAAATTGAAGTTTTTAATGAATGAAAATTGTATATTGTGCTACTTCATGAATATAAGCATTCGTTTTTAATACTCCGTAATTGAGGGTAGTAGGCAAAATTACACTATAGTTTTTATTTTATTGTACAATCGACTCTCTCTTCGTAAGGTTTGTGCCATCGCGTCGTATAAGTGCGTCGTATGAACATTCTCACCTCGCGAGCCAACGATTCAAAAACGACTTTGTTTTCTTAGGACGTTTCCAAAAAGTACACATCAAGTCCTGCAAACTCCAATTCCACAATCACATCTTTGTACGCATAATACGAAACGAATCACTGCATGGATTCGTATATACACAATTATTGTCTCCGTGGGAGTCTCCATGAGCGATTCTTGGATATTGCAAAATCAATGGAGCATCGAATTCTTTTTTCTATGACGCACTAATATGATTATTAGCTAACCGTTTGACGATAGAAATAAACGTAGTGGAAGATGTGAAATTGCGTCTAAAACTTCGAAGCCGTGGCTGTAAAAGAGCTTTACAAGTGCGCGAAACGCAGAAAATAACCGTGGTAGAGGCATCGAACGACAACAGTGGAAAGTGGAAGGCCCGATTTTCTTCCACAAGCCGTAAAGACCCGAGCAGTGTCTATCGCGACATCGCGCTCTTTCGCTCTCTCGGTCCCCGCGGCAGCGCGCAAACGTCGGGCGGCTCGGAGAGCATCGGACGCGTCCTCGGCGTCGGCACGTGTCGTCCGGCTCGCAGCGCGTCGAGGCAACGGTAGCCGTCGCGCGCGGCGGCGCGCTCACGCGAGGCCGTGGTCGGCGAGGTTCCTCCACGCGAAGCCAAGAGCCGCGAGCGCGGCGAGCCCGAGGCCGTGGGCCCTTGGCGAGCGAGGCCCGGCCAGGCTGGTGGCGTTGCAGCAGTTGTTGACGGCGGCGTCGAGCACGACGGGATAGTAGTCGTTCCAGAACGCCAGGGCCTTGTAGTCGACGACGCCGGCCTCGTTCATGTCGATGTTGCGCTCGACGATGAGGATGCCCGGGCTGGACTGCTCGTAGGGCTCCCACTTGATGGTGTTGACGGACGGGTTGCCGGTGCGCCCGAAGCCCGCGAGCATCGACATCACGATGTCGGCCATCTTCTTGTCGGCCATGTTCCACTGGACGGCCGTGCCGGCGGCGTAGGGCAGGCCCCAGACGAACGGCTGCTCGAACAGGTGCGGCACGCCCGCCCACTCGGGCACGTCGCGGACCACGGCCGGGGTCTTGGAGCGGTAGTCGAACCTGTAGACGAAGGCCTGCGCGCCGGAGGGGTGAGCGGAGACCTTGGCGGCCAGCTGCGTCAGCCCGGCCGCGTAGTTCTTCTCGGTCTGCAGGGCGAGGTACTGGTCGCGAATGAGCCTCTGGTCGCCGCTCGGCGGCTGCGGCCTGTAGTAGAACAGCACCGCCTCGGCCACCAGCTCGGGCCGCAGCTCGCAGGTGCTGTTCTCGTCGGGCGCCAGCACCGTGGCGCCGCTCTCCTCGCGTATCATCGCCTCGAACTGGCTCATGGCCAGGCGGCCGTCCGCGCTCTCGCCGCCGATCGACTGGATGTAGGCGAGGGCCTGCTCGTTGTTGGTGTAGCCGCTGATCAGCGGCACCGCGTACAGCTCCTCGGCGGCCAGCTCGCGCGGGTGCCTCGGCAGGAACGGCCCGTCCGTCGAGTTGTTGATGTCCGCGTCGACGATCGGCCCCCACGTCTCGATGAAGGCCGACTCTTGGATCAGAGTCTTCAGCTCCACGTTGCGCAGGCACCTGACCAGGTCGGCCGTCGCGCGGTAGCAGCCGAACTTGCTCCTCACCTGTCGGCCGGGCAAAGCGCGTAGCAAGCGGCCAACGGGGCTTCGCGTTTCGATCGCGTGGCGGCGGGCGCCGCTGTACCGACCTGCTCGACCACGGCCGCCTCGTCCTGGGGCGTCCTCGCGGAGTTGATGGGGTCTCCGCTCATGGCGATGGCCTTGGAGAACTTGCCGCGGCTCAGCGGACTCATCATGTGCAGGCCCACGCTGATGGCCCCGGCGCTGTGCCCGTAGATCACCACGTTGTTCGCCGTCCCGCCGAAATTGTCGATGTGGCTGCCTACCCAGTCCAGCGCCGCGATCTGGTCCAGCATGCCGTAGTTGCCCGGCGCCTCCGAGTCCGTGGTCGTGAAGAACCCGAGGATGTTCAGGCGGTAGGCCACCGTCACGACCAGCACCTGCGCGCCTCGTCTCTTTACTCGGGGCTCTTCCTATTTTCGATCCTGCCACCGTCAGAGCCGACGACGCGCTGAATGATTAACCGCCTGCCAGCAGGTTGCGCTCGCGGCGCGTGAGCGGAGAGAGAAGGACCCAGCCGCGACGGGGGATCGATGCCTGGGACGCGGCTCGCTCTCGGCCTTGGCGCCGCGGATCTTCGAGGCCGAACAAGTAAATCAAGAAAAAAACAGGGAGCTCCGGCCGGTCGCGTGCGATTCGCAATTTGACGCGACGCGTCCCAAGGACAAGGCGAGTCCAATTTTCACGGCGATACGGCCACTCGGACGGATTCGTACGGTTCATCAGCGCCACTTCTCCGCATCCTCTCCCGTCTCCCGTTGGCCCTTTCGATCGTCTCGCCGTCGATCCGATCGCCGATTCCCGGACGATTCGTCCGACCACTGCTGCAAAGCGAGAAGCCGCTGACGAGCTCTGTCATCTTTATCGCGATGTCCATGGAAGTTTATCGAATAGCTCTGCTTGCCAGCGCGCCGTGTAATTTTTCCGAGTGTTTCTAATCTAATGAGAAATCAAATGGTTTTCTTAATGGAATGTCCCGATAAATTCCCCGATTGCAAAAGAAAATTCATCGAGTCGTGTCAACAACTGTCTAAACGCGATGAAATGGCGTGGGTGTGTTGTATAAAAACGGCACGCGGCGTGGATCGATATCGAATGCTCGCGATGGCTCTCGGCACGTTATTAGTGCAATTACACGGGGCTCGGGGGCTAAAGTGAGAGGCGAACTTGACCTTCTGCTTGGTGACGAACACGGAAGCATCCCAAATTGCTGGCGTGCCGCTGTTGAAGTCGCCAGCGTGGAACCACACGTACACCGGCCATCCCTCTGCTGGCCGGGGTCCTGCAAACGTCGTCGTCCAGACTGAGTCAGTGCAAGCGAGAAAGCAAGCAAGCGCGATGCGACGGATTTGCGCTTGAATACACGTCGCACGTGTAGGAAAACCGCAATCGGATCTATCTCGCTGATAAGGAATTTGAATTCTAAAGCCTTTTTTTTTTCGCGAGAGTCACGGCTTCCAAAAGTAAACACATACATTACTTCGGAATCGCATGTCTATCTACACTGTGAAAAATGCCCGACAACAGTCAATTAACTTAACAACCAGAGTATTTGACGTACAGCGCCGATAAATGTTAATTTCTAACGTGAGACATCTCATACAAGTAGCTGCGTGTCGGCCGAACCCCGCACCGTAAATCTCGTGAAAAGGGAAAGCCCGAGGGTTCGCTTTTTCACGCGGCGACAGTAGCGGTGCCAACGCGGGTGGCGAGATTACGCGGGCGCACCGTCGCGCGACTTATATCCTACGTCGGGGTGCAGCCGACGCGCGCACCGATTACGATTTCACCGCGTACGCGTCTCTCCTGGCGTTTTCCACGCGCGCGACGCAGCGCCCGTCTCGGGCAACGCTCGTCCGCGCTCCCGACGAGAGCGAAAGCCGGGCAGAGAGCGCGACGCCGTGACCCGCTTGTATCTCCGATCTACGCTCGAAAATCCTCGAGTCCCTCTCTGCGGGTTTCTCGGGCAGTCCAGATCCGTGCTGCCGATAACATACTTCTCAGGCAGTCCAAGGCTCCGAGCTCGCGCGGCGCGCGATCACTCGAGCTCCCTTCGAGTGCCGCGTGCTTTGCAGCTTTCGCGGCGCCGATCTTCGCGAGCGAGTACTCCGGGTGCTTCCGGGCTGACTCGCCGCGGCGGATTTCGCAGCGGACAATTTTCCGGCAACCCGAGCGCCAACCGAACGATAGCTCGCACGCGTAGAAAAGCTCCCGTGGCGAGATCGCGTGCCGGCCGCGCGTACGTACGCTCTCGCTCGGTCGATCGATCGGCCAGCTCCCCGCCCCGACCCTCCTGCACACGTATGCCGCGCACGCTGGAGTCTCTCTCTCTCTCTCTCTCTCTCTCTTTCCGCGGCCTCTGCACCCCGGCGACGACTGTGTCGAGCTCGCACGCTCTCCTATTCTCCCTTTGTTTCTTCCGCTCGTTACCCCAACAGGATTTGCCTGCGACGGCCGAAGGGGGGGGGGGGGGGGTGCACGACCCTTTCGCTCGCACGGCTGCAGCTCGCCTTGCGGCGACTTTTTTAATCTTCGATCGGCACTCTTCACTCGCTCGGTGGCCGAACCGTCTGTCAACTAAGATTTTCCTCACAGCCCGATCGGCCAATCTTTCGTCGCTTTTTTAAACAGCCGCTTTTTAACAGGAAAATCAGCAATTAAGTCCGAGTCGAGGCAGCAAGCTCGGCGACATTCGACACGCGCTCATGCATAATTCACGAGCTCGACAATTGACACGCAATCGCTCTCTCGCAACACGATCGCGAGTTGGTTGACCGATGATCGAGTGCTGTTCATCTACGAATCGTGGCGTCGTCCGCGGAGATACGAGGCAATTGTCTCGCAAGTGGGTTCGCTCGACGGGAGAACGCGGACGTGAGCGTGACGATCGGCTGCGCGCGCGGACAGTCGCGGGAACGACGAGCGATTTCCGCGCGCGACCTCTCGATACCTCGTCCGACGTCGCGTGCCCTTTGCCCTCGGCTGTCCGCAATTTGTCGGCGCTCGCTCGCGCCTACCTGTCGCTCGATGAGAGATCGCCTTCGAGTCGCTCGGTCGGCGCGGACGTTCCGGCGACTCTGCGATTACTGCGAAAATGACGTCGTGATTATGCAAATCGTAGCGTCGACGACATGCCCGTCACTCGCGAGGTACTCGAGATTGAATTGTAGCGAAAGGTCGACGCTGAAAGTAGTTGACGGTGCCCCGTCAACGTCGAACGAGGCGACAGCACCTATAGGCGCCGAGGTGTTTGTCGCGAGGACGCTGCGACCTTGGCTAAAAACATTAAGCTCCAAGGCTGCTAACGTCGGTTACTTTTGGACGCCGACTCGAGCAGTAATCGGTCGGTGCTTGACAAGCATCAGTTACCATCGGGCTTGAAAATATTGAGAAACAGACAGTCCTCGTCGAGTCCCGGGTCGGGCAAATCCTGCGGCAGCAGTCGCCGAAAGAGCCTCTCGTGCAGCTTCTTGCGAGTGTTAATCTGCGGGCAGGACGGCCCGAAGACGGACGCGTTTCGCTGTCCCGTCCACGAGGGCAGCGGCGAGGTGGCCGGCGGCGCGAAGCGCAGATCTCCTTTCGGTGGCTGGGCGTACGGGATGCCCAGAAATTGAATCACTCGCTGCGTGCGGCTCAGGAACACCTGCGAAAATTGCCAAGCACTCGGTTTTCAACGCGATCGACGAACGCCACGCGCCTCGTCTGCACTCAACAAATTGCAGACGTCCATTACCGTCTACTATTCTGACTTTGGAAGATTTTGAACATTTGAAAGATTCAACACTTCGCGAGCGGTTCATTTGTTTTACAAACGGAAAAACACACGCAACGCGGTGCGTAGCGCCGTAGGTTAGACGTACGCTGCAAGCAACCACTCCGCAATCAAGGCTCCGTGCAAGCTCTCTCGAGCGCAATCCCCTTGGCAATTACGGTTCTCCGGGTCGTGAACAGGTAAGCAAAACACGACGTGCCTTTACTCCGGCAAACGTTTACACGAGTTTGCCGTCTGTTTGTCAGCATGTCGACCAACGGCGATCAGCAGCAACAGCAGCAGCGCGCAATGCTGGTCGACACGACGAAGGCGATCTCGTCGACGAATTCAGCGGCACTGGTGCTGCCGATGCAATCGAATCCAGCTGTCGTGGCACCCGGAGGCAAATGGTACATGGTGTACGTTCCACCCGGCGGTGCGTCACCCGTCTCCTCGCTGCCAGCCCCGATTGCCGTTCCCGTTTCGTCCTCCGATCGCGCGGTCGCCGTCGCCGAAGCGACCTCCTCGTCGGAACCACGGCCGACGCCGGCGCACTCGCAGCACGACCACGAGCTTCCCGCGCGAAAGGTGAGCGCTCGCCAACCCCCTCCAACTTTACGACTCCTCTTCCTCCCTGCTCTCATTCGCGAATTGCTTTTCTAGGGTGGCAAAGGCGCTGGACAGTCCAAAAGAGCGTGGCGCCAGAGATTCATGGCCAACAGGCAGAGTCAAATGATACCACGTCCGAGCCGAAACTTTTACCAGCCGAGGCCATTTTGTCCGAGTGACTTGCATTGATGGCGTTTTCGGCATGGGTCTAATTTTCTCGTTAACGGCGATTCCGTTTCAGTAGAAAGAGTTTGCGAATGTGGTTCTATTTTAGGTATAAGTGAAGCATGTGTCTCGTTGCATGGTTCTTTCGAAACAGCTGGTTAATGTGAAAAATTCCGCACTGAGCGGCGATCGCTTCGTCAAGGTAGTTTTTCTTTTTTCTTTTTACGAAAGATTTACGAACTCGCGGCGTTTGTAGGTCATTTCTTTAACGAACCGAATGTAGGCCGAAAAATCGCGAAAAAATCTCCGGGCATAAATCATACGTACAGAAAAGACAGCTCGTATTCGCTGAAAGTAAGCTTCTCAAAAAAAAACTACATTGAATTTTATGCATACGAAAGGCGATCGAAACTAGTTTGCATTCTTATCGCTCGAATCGTCACTTACGGTCAGCGAATCTTGCATGCCCCCTTTCGATAAAAAGCAGGTAAGGCTTTTGTTTTTCGAACACAAATTTCGGAGACAGAATGGGGGAAATTCATTGTGCGAGTGTCATTTTATTACCTTACCTTTGAATTGCATTTCCAGTCCATTATTTGTTGCTTTCGAATTCGATGTATATCTAGCTATTTATTCGTCTCAGTGCCATTGACTGTATACTTTGAATGGATAAGCGTTTATTTATTGTGATACTCGCAGATGATGTGGCGACGGAAAAATTAACCGAGGGTTAAAGTAAAATATTTTTGTCGCCCGAAATGTTAAAAACATCCATAAAACGTTATAAATATATCATTCGAGCAAATAATTGTCATTCGAATTTGAACTCTAATTCTTTATTACCGGCCGAAGAATATTATGCATGAATTATAAAGAACAATGAAAATAAAACGAAAAAAACTGTCAAGATCTGGCAAAGCGGACTTACACTTGCGAGCGAGCGAGAGAGTTCAACGCCGCGTGAGCTTGCAGATTTGATCGCAGGAACAAGAGCTTCGGCGCTACACACGACGTGGCCGGCGCAATCGCGTTTCCAATTTACTCCTGTGCGGCGTTACATGCCTGCGTGAATGCAGTTAGCTCGCGTTTTCGCGGAACGGCTCGCAAGGAAAAGTTGGCGAAAAATTGAATTACTGCTCTTCGCAGCCTCTCGAAAGCCACCACTCTGCAACGAGTGGTTAACCTCTCGATCGTTTAATCTTGCCTATTAACGCTTTTTTTTTGTTTTGATGACTTCGAAACTGCATCCTCTGCACGCACCCTCTCTTCGACATAGCCGAGCAACTGACTTCCTGGGAAACGACAACAATTAAAATTGCCTCCTTTCCAAGAAAGGAAAATAATAATCGCGTACGCATTCGTATCACAATAAGAGCGATGGATGATTCGCGCGCGGGAAAGTTGCCGAGCATTACGCAGACGATAAAAAAAGGCGCGCCGACTATCGCTCGATCTTTGCTCGGCTGCTGCCGCTGCCGGACGGCCGCGATATTGACCTTCGAGTTGGAGCTGGCTCCGTTGGGCGGTTCGCGTGCATTAGCCGCCGGGCGAGCAAGTCGCATGCATTAAAAGCGCTGTAGTCCTTGCCCCCCAGCCGATCCTCGCTTCACGTCTGCGTTCGTTCTTCGAGCCGAAATGGACGTTGAATAAACCGTCGCAGGAGTTGACTGCGCTGTTTGCCATTTATCTCAATTCGTATTTACTTTCTTCGTGACCGCACACTGTACCTCGAGTTCGCGTTTCGAGCGCTGGTTATTTTCATTTGGCTGCATTTCTTCCCATCTAATCTAAATTATCGAGTTACTTCGGACTTGGTCCCCGAAATAAAATTTATCTTCGACGACAATTACATCAGCGATATTTTAATTGCTCAGCTTCTAACGAGAAACTTTTTCCCAAGACTTGGTGTTATTAGCTCAAGTAAGGTTGGCAGAACCACGACGCCAAGCCAAAATCAACCTTTACTACTTAATCTGTGGCGAAGGAACGACGTATTTGGGAAATCTGTTACAGCTTACTGATGCCCGTGATAACGCACAAACAGGCAGATCGTAGCAAGAAAGAAAGCGAATATCCAATCAAGTTTTCTTGTACTAACTGTTTCGTCAGTTGGATTTCTTTTCTGGAACACTTCCAGGCAATCGAACGCTCTAATTGCCTTCCTCGTTCACGCGTCAATCTTAGTTTTTCAATAATGTAAAGGTCCTTCAAGGTTTATTCAAGTAACAATCTCAAGGCTAGTTTTTGTAAAGATAAGTCAGACGTGCCGTCAATTTCAAATTTGACAGCAGGTGGAATAATAAATGAAAATTCGAAAACTGACGAGACACGCGAGATCACGCTCCCTCTTTCGACCGAAACTGTGTCACGAAAACTATTAAGTCGCACGCTAAAACACAATCCCGAGAAAACAGCCGAACGCCCGTCTCTTTTTTCCCAATATTACGAAAAAGAGAAAATATTCACAAAGCAGCCGCAAGTGTAATTTAAAGCGAGCACGCGAACGGCCGTAATAATTATTGGAAAGCTTGAGATTATTTCGGGAGCCACTGTTTCACGATCGCAGCCTATCGCAAAGCTTTATTGTCATTTCGACGAGCAAGCCTGTCATTAGTTTCGACAAGTATTTGCGCTATTTCAACTCCAGTTAGCCTTGATGAGATAGGAAAATCACCTTTGAACTTGATGCTTATGGATGGTCATAAAGCGGACAAAGTAACGCTCGGTTTACCAACAATTTCTTGCTATGACGAAAGTGTAGCTGAATGTAAAAAAAAGGTAGATACGAAAGAGGATACGTTATTCCGCGATTCGTAAACTTGGAAAACAATGTTCCACAAGCTTTTAATAACAAACATCTCAGTCGATAGATCTTTTTAATGGCAATTGCTGAAATTCGGCGAAAAACGCCTGAACAGATCGGATAAACGGTAAACATTGCCTGCCACGGACGAAGCCAATAAGCCTGTCTGCAAAGCGATTGCTAGCCAATAAGTGGCAATAAGTAGCCCCGGCCTGGAAGGTGGCGTACCTCGCGTCCGACGAGTACACCCTGAGCAGGCAGCCTGACGATGGTAGTCGGTGGCTCGGTTTGTCGTCCGGGTTGGCCCGGCCGGGCATTGCCCCTCTGAGGTTGGGGTTCGGCCGCGATGCAGCCAAGCAGCAGTAGCAGTGGCACGAGGCACCAACGACGGCGGCACTTCATAGTTTCGCGGCCCGGCACCGACTGCCGCTATCGCGTGACTAGCCAGTCCGACCCTCGCTCTCGCTTCCTTCGACGCTACCCTCCCTGCACCTCTTACTCTTACTCTTACATACACACATGCACATGCACATGCATGCACGCACGCACGCACACACACACACACACACACTCTCTCTCCTTCTCTTCGGCACTCTACGTCTTTTTGTTTGCCTATTTCAACTCCGCCGCTCCATGTCTCGCTCGTTTGGCTGATTTTTACAAGTAGCTTCGCTTCTGCATATTTTCTGGCCGTTCTTTGCCTCAGCAATCCGAGAGATGATCAACGAGACCATTTTCAACTTCATGTCAGCTAAAAATTACAGAATTACTGTCACTGCGTCGCTCAGCAATTTACCTCTAATGGACTCGACGAAATTAACGTCAATATTGTCTTACGCTCTCTTTTACTTACTGATATTGCTCGTCAATCAAATGTTTCATTCGATCGCTTCATTTGTTTTTCTAGCTTGCTCTTCGCGTCCGTTCGATCAACAATTTGTTACTCAACGTTTGAATTATCGCGTAGTTGCTTCTCTGTTTTCTAACGGACGCTCACATCGTTCTACAATGTAATTATTAAAAAAAACTAATCGTGAATGAATGCAAATTGTTTTACTGTCCGTTCAAGTGTTGTGATGCAGACGTTTTTCTCAGCTAAGTTTCTACTTTACGCAATGCTTCATTTGCTTTTCAGATTTAATATTGAAACTCAAAGTAACATTTTGCAAGTTCAAACGTAATAATCTTTTGGTAAGAAATAATTGTAAATCATTTCGAGTACATAATTTTCATAACCTGTTACTCATCTATGTGAAATGATCGTAAACGCTATTGTAATTTACAGGCACTTTATTACGTCACAGGTAGTTTCAACAGGCAAATTTAATGGTACACATTGAACTATTGCAATACTCTAAAAAGCTCAAGAGTTGGAGGTAATTTGTTGGAGACTTTTTCAAATTTGTGCGACTAGATCAAAGACAATGAGTTTATAATAAAGTTAAATAGAGCGTTTAAATGCAATAATTTAAAAACGCTAGTAATGCAAAAATGGTTGGCGTTGTTCATTACATAAACGATATTGAATAAAGTTGTGGTTCATGGTTTGGATAACAGTGTAGATTAAAATTAATCATCAGAGGAGCCCGAGCTAATGCAAAACGTGTCAATACCACGTAATACCATCTAATTTGCAAATGTTAAATAGAAAAATAGGTGCAATATGTAAAATATCGTCTACAATACGGGTTAACAAGTCAACGACTAGCTGGAATTTGAACAGTCGACCTAAAGGAGAAAAACGGGGGTTAATGAGTGGCCAAAATGACAATCGCTGTAGCTGTTAGTTTCTCGTGCAGGACTCGTAGGTAGGCACCATGTACTTGATATTGATGAAGGCATCCTCGCCACCGTACTGTTCGAGTACCTCGAGCGTCTCCTGGATAAGGTCGGCCACGTTCTCGCCCCGCTGCTGCGAGTAGTCGATGCCTTCGCCGTAGTTCACTGAAATCAACCGTTGACGCGCTCGAAATGTCCGGCAAAGCGTCCGATTGAGGCCAAATTACCGTTGCGATCTTTGAGCAGGCTGAACACAGGCAAGATCTGCCGGAAATAGGGCACGAGTGCCTCGCCGATGCAGTTGCCGCAGCGAACGAGACGCTGCAGGATTCGCAGAGTTCTGCAGATCACCTCCGGGATCTTCGTGTCGAGGGCCCCTAAAACAATTCAATTGTTTCCCTTTTATCGGCGAGATGTCGATTTGCCGCGACGGCCCAGTTAGCCGGTTTATTTGACTCTGCCAAACGACACGCTATAGAGTTGACATGGAGCAGATCGATAACCCTTTCAATCTGGCTGAATCAACGCGGTAACCGTTGAAAGCGGTTGCACCCGTTAAGACGGCCATGGAAAAGGAGAAGCTTTTCGGTCGATTGCGTCAAACTCGCTGGCGTTTCGCGCTGAATAATCAGAACTAGTCCGACATGGTAAACGTATAGAATTTGTTAGATAATTATCGTAAAGTTTATTTTCAACATTTTATGGATTGAACTGTTTCGAACAGCGATCGTTTGTTAATAGCGTTCTCAAAACAAAGCTTCAACAAAACAGTATAAAGATGCCTTTCGGTTTTTTCTTTCAGCTATTGCGAAATGCAACAAATTACAAAGTTGTTCCAAAGTTCAGTTCAAGATCACGACATTTGAAAAAAGAAAAAAAAAAAAAAAAAAGAAATTACCGCATACACGGCACACGATATCCGTTGCCATTACAACGTAACAACTTTTAAGCAGACCCGTTAGACCGAGAGGATAAGAATTGGTGTGCGCGACTCACTCTTGATAGGCATGACAAGCTGCGGCAGGCAGGGCAGCACCTGGACGCCCGCGCCGCTGACGTCGAGCATCTCGAGGATCGCCTGTTCCACGATGAAACTGTAAGGCACCTTAGCCTCGGTCAGCCCGTCGAAGAACAACGGCAGATAGAACTGATAGTCGAGCTTGTCGAGGTCGACCTTCCAGGAGATCTTCTGGCCGCCGCTGGCGTCGGCCTCGAGGGCAATCGGGAACATGCCGCGCTCGTAGTAGCGTCGGAACGTCGAGGTTTTCGCAGGACGCTCCTCGAACAAGCCGCATTTCGGCGGTCGGGCAACCACGGTGTTAGCCTGCGGTGGTGATCTTTGAGCCTCTGTCGTTTGCCAGTCGGGGCGTTCGCGAGTGGCGCGTTCCGGCTGCCGTTCTCGCGCGTCGCAATGCCGATGTTTGTCAAGCGACGAATCGCCTCGCGCGACGGCTGGGCGCAGTCACGTCGGAATTCGCGAAAACGTCGGGAATCCGCGTGAAAGAGGCCGACCGCTTTTCGCGACGAGCAAAGCGCCGGGAAGAAGGGCGAGGCGAGGAAGGCTCGGGGCCTTCGACGGGGTCGTCGCGAGTGCGTCGCCGGGTGCACTGACCTGGAGCGCCTGGATGGTGAACGCGGGCACGACGCGCCTGTGCTTGCCGTAGCGATGTTTGCGCACCTCACCCCAGAACTCGCTCTGGTTCACCATGGCCGACTGGCGCGCGCTCGGCAGCCCGCGGGCGACGCGCCCGCCGCGTACACCTAACCTGGCCGCGCGCGGCCACTCCCACGCGCGCGCGCGACCGCCGCCACGGCTTGTTGAGAGCGCGTAGCCAAGGCGACCGGGCCGCCGCATCCGTCGCCCTGTCGTGCTTGACGATCGCGCGCGATCGTTCTCCTCGGCGCCTTGCCGCTGCTCGCACGACAACCCAGCTAACTGTAGTCCTCGCGTTAGGGCTTCCGAGCTCATGGGCAGATGTGGGTCCTTGGGTTGGGTTGGGTTCAGCGTAAGGCTGAACACGTTCGACGAGCATTGTCCGCGTGGCGGGCTCTCCGTGAAAACTGCGCTCAAGGCCAAGGGGCTCGCGAGACACGTGCAGCAACGACAAGTCGCTTGCATCAGCTTGCGCCGGATCGATGCTACGCTTAATGACAGCAGACGCGCCGTCGCGCCTAAACTATACCCCCAACGCAATTGCACGCTAATCGGAAGGGTTCGCGGGCGCCGCGAGGTCGTACGTGCCAGCATGGGAGGACGTTCGATCGCCGCGCTTAATTTCGCCGAGGACTTGCTTCCCCGCGAAAGATCGGCGAAGCTCGAAGGCGAGGAACAGCAAACGCCCGACGAGCTAACGACGCGACGCGAACTCGCGGACGTCGCGGCTAAAAGACAATTAGGCGCAAGCGCGGGTGGGTCGGGTGAAGGGCTCGTCGATGACCTTACCTCTGGCTGTTGCCCAATGCACACGTATCCCACCGAGAGCTCGCGGCTTTTAGCTGGCTGACTCACACGACGAGCTCCGATCGTCGTTTCGATAGCGCAGCTGATCCAAGATAACGCGTACCGAGTGCGCCGTCGCGGTTGGATTCGCATGCGAGCCTTTGGCTTAGAATTGAGAATGCTACCGGGCAATTCGTCTGTATTGCATTTCAGAATGAAACTCACTACTGCGCCCACGTAAGTATTACCCTGCTTGGAATTTCGCCAGATCTCGTATTGTTATCGTATTCCTTTTGCAGCCCGTCAAAATGTTTACTTTGCGTGCAATATCAATAAAAACGCAGACGTGACTTTTTATCAATTTTTTTTTGGTTTTCAAAGGAGTTCAATGAGAAAACAACAACTAAGGATAGCGTTAAGGAAAACCGAATATCCCAAGCATCTACAGCACTCGTGGGTCCTGCAATTTTTTTGAAAGGATTGCTCATATCTGTTGACCGCATAAAAAACATTTAACAGCATGGAAAACACTGCATATTTACCTTGAATACATAACACGTTCGATCGTGACTGCTCAATAATACGTACAGATTTAAATTTGTATGCACAACGCTTGCAGCAATAGTTTATGACGCCGATCACTGTGATGATCTTTATACGAGAATCTTGAACCAAGGGATTAGCAAATTATTTCACCATCTTCTTCAATGAAGAATAATCGTTCTTCAAACCTCTGAAATGTTGAGTGTTTAAAAACAAGTACAGTTACCTATAGTGTACTTTTGCAGCGTTCCATATGGACGTAGTTCTTGAAATCACAAGAGCAATAACAATTGCATTGCGAAGATGTCAATTTGGACTACCATTCATGATGAAACCAAAACTGGAGACTAGAGCATTTTGACGATGAACTGTGAGGTTCAAGTTTCCTGAAAAAATTTATTGCACAACTGGAACGATTAATAAGCAACTTAAAGTATTGCGCTCGATAGGCAATGTTTACGTCACAAGCGAGGAAAGTAAAACAATACTTTATTTCGCTACCTCGTGCAATGCCTATACGTCGTAGGGTATAGGCATTGCACGAGGTAGCGAATAAATTGGCAATTTATCGCCGCAATTACAAAAGCGTACGCGTGCAAACAAGATGCGCAGGGAGCAAACGATATTGCAATACTGCATTCAAGGAAGCCAATGTACTGATAATTGGATCATACAATTATGAATCGTTGAACCATAGCGATCAGCTGTCTGCTCTCCGCTTATAAATATTTTATTTTTAAACTTTATAGCAATTTGCGTGTGCGTGCAAGAGACGTAACAGAACGATTACAATATGCGTATGTAATTGAATCCCCAATATTGTAGTTTTGCAAATGCGACTTGAAGAACAAAATGTTTTTTCGGGTTTTATTTTATTTAGCAGTGCAAAATAAAGTTATGCCGATAAATACATACGTATGTTTGAATTCCGTTGATAAAATCTTTTGTGGATTTCCGTCATCAGAAGTTAGTGAGGCTGCACCGGAACCAAAAGGTGTTCTTTTGAAAAAATCTGTTGACGACGAAATTCTTTGATCTTTTCTTGAATTCTTTTCTATATAATTTTTGAATAAATACTTGATAGTTGATGTAATTTTGTTTCAGCACAACTTTTGAACGATTTTACCTTTTCCAACAATTTTTCTTCAACAGGACCATCTGATCTTTTTAAAATTTTGATGAATCCATTTTTTCATGAGTGATTTAACGTTAAACCGGAACTTGATTTTTCAATGAATATACGTTAATTCCAAAACAAGGTTATGAAGTGAAACTGAAAGACAAATGCTTTACTATTTTTTATAAGGAATATCTTCTCAAACTGTAACGGTCCTGTCTATGAGCTCTTCTCTTATTTTCACTGGTTTACTGCAACCCGCTAAACTCATCAATTTACTTACATCAATTAACATATTAAACGGCGCCACCTTATATATTATATGATTGTATTAGTACTAGAGTCAAATTTCATGACCATATAAGGAGCGTGACGTCATTCAACTTATAGATACAGATATAATAATTTTTATTTTTCAATTAAAATGCGTTAATTAAGAGTAATTTCAATGTAATAAAGTATTTTTATATAGATTTTAAGACATAGATTAAGATTATAATAATTTTAATTACTTTTAACTACTAAATTGTATTGAATTTTAATGTGCAAATTTAATTTGTTTATTATGTTGTGGAGCTGGTATGAGAGCATGGATGTATGAGTGAGCAAGCGAGTAGATGGGCCTGGCACTTCCCCTCTGCGTGGAAAAGTACCAGACCCTTCGGGAAAGCGATGGAGAGAGGGCAAGCGCCCTCTCCCCCATCGAAGGGAAGGAAGAGAGAGTGAGCGGGTCCCCAGCACGCTAGTGCTTGGAGGACAGCGACACTAACAGCATGTTTAGTCCTATGTTTAGTCCTTCATTATATTTTGTGTGTCATTTTTAATAAGCTTATATCTTCTTAATAAAATAACTCGAGTGTAAGTCCCTTATTCTCATCCCATACGTATGATTTCCCACAATGTTGTAAATTATTTTAATTTGTTTATTATGTTGTAATATTAAATATTATAATAAAGCGGATACTCTAAATTCAAGATGACTATCTAAGAAACATGAGTAAGAATTCGTTTCATTGGTAACAGCTTAGTTATTACTGTTATCAATAAATAAACAATTAATAATTCATTCAAACAAATAATTGTATATGAATCGAAAGCGTTAATTTTGTACATAACAACGACATCTTTATAATTTATTAATTTTAATTGACTGATTTACTATTTGCATTATAAGATTTTACAAAAAACCGTTGAAAATACGAAAATTAATTATAATTCAAATGTTATTAATTAATTTAAGTAGTTATTTTTTGAAATTACTTCTACAAGCAATAAACTATTGCTATATGTCAAATTTTATCATTATTTTATTGTAAATATTGCGCTATTGTATTAACTAACTTAATTAGTTAATAACTTTTGACTCTACTTTTTGCGATAAGTGAAAATTATACTCAAATGATCCATATCAATTTCCGTAAATTTTACATGATGTAGAATTTCGTTATTGCTGTCTATTCTATTGTAAACAAGCGACAATGATTTTGCACAATTGCGTAAACATCTCGGAGAGGGCTGTCCTGCGAAAATAGGCGGAAAAATCTGTGTATAAATATGCTGATTTTTTATTCTCTCCTAGCCTTGCAAAGTGAGCGCTCGAAATTGAATAAACTTGGCTTATACAAGCAATTCCTTCCTTTCCTATTGTAATTTACGCTCGACTTATAGAACATTTCGCGCTATGAGAAACTTGGGCTGAATTACATCCTTTTTACAAGAAAGACTTAAGCTCTGCTTATGGGACACCTCGCACCATAAGAAACTAGGGTAAAGTTTATCTTTCCTTGAGCCTAATTCAAATAATCATAGATATTCATTTATAATTTTATTCCAAACTTAATATTCATAAGTATTTTTAAAGTTAAAACGAATTCTTACTCATTAACGCGACAGACCACGAGAGTACGAACAATATTATAAATAATAGGTGATATTAACATCACAAAACTTTCATCAAAATCGTTCTCCCGCAGGTCTAGCGATCTCCTTATACAAGTTGCAATATGAATTTCTGTTGGAATGTATGTGTATGAGTCAGACATGAGTACAAAAATCAATCTATATTATGTCTTAACGAAACTGTGAGAAAACTGTAAAGTGTAACAAGAGCAGTCTAGTATGTATGGTATTGCCGTTCTCACAGAGCCGATATTGAGAGAGCGTGATAAAATCTCCGAATCATGAAAACACTTATTTTTACTTTTTAGCCAAGTACCGATACAGACGTACCTTTCCTAGTGCACTTTGAATAAAAAACTTACATCTAAAATATAATTTCATCTTTATTTATATAATATTCACCCTATCATCCAAAAATTTTATTAAATTACAATGAAAATTGGCATCCGCGGTGCTAGTTAATTAGATTGATTTGTAAAACATTAAATCATAATTCCACTACATTTTTCAACACTTGGTAAGGTAAATTATCCGTACAGGTAACTGCTATCCATGAACCGTTCTAACTTTTGGTTAACAATTATTTTTTATTTACCAACGAGGATTAATTTCAAAGATTATCAAAGCAACCCTCCATTTGTTAAGTATACATGTTAAAGAAAGTGGACTCAATGTGAAACCATTTAGAAAACGGGATTATTATGCATTTAAATCTTATGTTACTAAAAACTATTTATTATGACATAACAATGTTACATTCATGAGCATATATTATAATTAAAGAAAATAAAACAAAAATTAATATTTTGAATTTGATATTCGGAATAATTAAGCTTACTTTGACTAACTAACTAGTTTTCTTTATAAGTGTACAAACGAATTCGATACTGGCTAGTAAAGAACGCCCTTGCAATATTTACTCACAGTTCATTATTGATTCGTGAAATTGCTCGATATTGGGTAAACTCAAACAAAAAACGATGTAGCAAAGGCATTTATTTACACGCTAAGAAATGTCTAATAAGTACTTTTAAAAGAGTACTATGTTTTATATTCGGATTCACTAGACTATCTTAAACGTCATATATTCGTTCAATAGAAATTTGGAAAATTGCGAAATTCGCTCATCTGTGTACATAACGATAGATACGAAATTCAATCTTGCAATCTCGCGTTGCAAGATTAGATCTGTCGGCCCTATTTGTGGCTTTACGTTATCAATCTTTGGATATTAATCAATTACAGCAATATTTTAAATAGAGAACAAGATGTAGATCAGTTCTTGGACTTCAAATTGAATATTTTGAAAAAAAAATAATAACTCTTAATTTAACTAAAATACCTAGAAAACTAACAAGTCTTCTATCACCTAATTAATGTTAATGCATGACAATTCATAATCGAGTGAAAAGAATTTTTCTAGAAAGTATTTTAAGTACTTACTTAATTTATCCACTTAGTATTAATTTCTGTTAATTTAGTTGAAAAACTCTTGTTCACAATAATTTTCTCGAAGGTTACGGGACGTATATATGTGTACATGTTCCAATTTTTCATATAAATAAGCCTGCAAAGTCGCGATACAACAATACAATATTTGTTCGACGAACAAATTCAGCTAATTCATTAAAATAAAATTTGTACGTGTTATTTTTATTTGCGCTGTCGCAGTCTTGGCCATGATGAGTGTTAGTGAGGCTGTACCGAAACCAAAAGGTAATTATATGTCAATCTGTTGACGATAAAATTCTTTTTTTCTATTTACTTTTTGAATAAATACTTTCTCTTTACTATAATTAGTTTATTAATACGTATGATGATGTTTTGTAATCATAGCCTACCGTATATTTTCTGGCATATTTTATAGTATTCAAAAATAGCCAAATCTCTTTAAAACTTTTTTCGGTCTTAAATAGATCATGAAAAGTTTCATTTACATGTTCCTTCAGATATGTATACATACATGTAATATAATGTTTCTATGTAGGCTGATACGTAGCTGTATGTGAAAGTACAATCGACAGAAGAATAGTCGACGATACGTGCATATATATACTTGCACATACGCGCATATACTTACACATATATACATAGTGAATTTTCTATTTTCAGCTGATGGCGATATGCATGGTCACAAAGGCTAAAGTCTAGTTATCACACAATAGAGTTGCAATTGTTAAGCAATCTCGTGCAATATGTATATGTAAAGAAATACATTAAAAGATTAAAGAAAGTTGTCCTTTTTTTCATCCTGCTTGAAGCTTTCGATTTATGTATTAAAGTATAACGAAAAACATATGTTAGACTCGTTCTTCAAAATTGATGTTAATTTTATACATTGGATCCTAGTATTTGATAGCTAACAGCGTGTATATTTAAAATAATTCTTTATGTTGTGTTCAGCTGCAATTAAAAATAATTGTAAAATTATGACACTAAATGCTCGACTGTGCGTTTGTTTTACGTTTATTGCAACGATGTTAGGCATAGAAAAATAACACAATATTCGAAAGATTTACTATTGAATTAAAAAGTTGGGCAAATATTTTTGTGCATAAAAGAAGTTGTAGTTTTTAGTCCTTCGGACAAACTCAAAAAACGCATGTTTTACATTGTTTTGAAGACCGCATTCTAATATTTATTCATTTTGCTGATCGTACGTAACCAGGCTCGAGTATAATAATCTTCTGTGAGTAGCAGAGTTAGATAAAATGTCAAAATTCTACTTTGGTATTTTTCGAATCTAAATACATCAGCCACATAGTATTTGTCGTCGGCATGAGAACGCAACTCTTACATAGCCGAGGGTCTCCGACGTTGTTCATGAGATGACTGTTATTCTTCGAGCTTGGTTAGTTTTCTTCTTGTGTTGGGATTTTTTTTTCCTTTTCTTTCGGATGTCTATCCAATTTCCTGCTCCGACTTTCATCTGTCTTACCTAAAATCCTTACAGAATACCATTGTCTTTTTCATCCGTGATAACGACGATAATGACATCCGACATTCGTTTGAGACTAATCTGGAGAATTGTTTGTCGCCTTCTATATGTTGCCCTTCGCCATTGTCTTGCTTATCTTAAAATACTGCAGCATATTGTTTACAACTGTTGAGAAACTTTTTTATGTAGTTGCTCCATAATCACTGATAATTATGGAGCTTCGATCACTCGTCATCGTCCTTATTCAATAGTGACTCTTTAGCAACAATTCAAGAATACCGTAGACATCAATTTGAGTAAGATCCGCGGCCGCTTTTGTAGCTTTAGGAACACTTATATCTGCCTTGTGTCATTTGTAGCCGTTTCTCACAGCGCTATCAAGTGATCTGTCACACCACGGTCTCAGCATTGCAAGACAACTGGAATACTGAACCAACACTCTCAGGGTCGGGCTCGCCTGGTCTACTCCATCATAACTACGATTAAAATGTTTTTTCTTCTTAGGATTACCCACGAGGGCCGATATTTCATGAGGATTACTACAGACATGTGATGGCTTTATTTTCAAAAGGAGACTAACAAGCTGCTATTATTTTTAAGGAGGTGTTACTGCTACATTGTCCCGCCTAGTTCATCACTTGCGAGTATAAGCCCTAGGCTTCCGACTGACATATAATAATAATAATAATAATAAATCATCTTCATAGTGATAATCAAAACGTTAAATACTAAAGATCAGCTTAAATTACAAATCAATTCCTTCGAGTAATACTTTTTATTCATTTCACAGATAAAAATACATTTATAAATTGTTTATTATTGTTGCAAGTCTTCAACTGTCAGCCTGCAATGTATCTTTCATTGCCAGCAACACCGATAAGTATCCTACAGATGTTTTGAGAACCTTGAAAAAAGAAATTTATTTATAGAATATCAATTTTAGAAGATGGTTTTGATAAGGATATGTTCAAATAAACGTATGTTGTGATATTTTGAGTCGTTGAGACGATTAATAATGAAAATGAAATGGTTTCCAAGCTTATAGTCTGTTTATATATTGTCAAGTTTAGTTAGTTTATTTTTTCGATTCTTAGTCTAGTTGTCATTATGAAGTTACGTCCCTTATAAATCCATTGCTGTTATTTTTGGTTTTGAGATTGATTTTCAACTACGTCGATAAATCTAAAGCCTTTTGAATTTCGAAATTTGGGTATCACAACAGTAAAAAAATAATCCCTGCAATTCTAGGATATTTGTTAAAATGCACCAGCGTACACTGCAATAGAGCTCCAAAGAGAACGCAACGAATTTTCCCGCGGTGAATTCCAGTGGTTGCTGTGTTCTGATCATAATTAAAATCAAAGGCCTTGCATCTGCCGGCGAGAGCTCGTACCATTCGCTATTGTAAGCGGTCTCTCTCATTTTTGTGCTCTATAAAATCGTCCATCAAAAAAACGATCAAAGAATCGCCCAATGCAACATTTATATTAGGATGATTTCGTTACGATTGTCGTTCTTTTACCTCTGTACTTAACAACGTAGCAATGAGGCAGTAGACGAAAAGGCTTGCGGCAACGCTGATATAATAGTAGACTGCAAAAACGAGATCGAGCAGAAACACGACGTCGCTCGTAATCACCTACACCAATGAAAATATCGGTCGTCAAGAATAGCTTTCTCGGTATGTTTGATAAATTATTTAACGATCGGCTTCTAGATTTGAAATTTCGCAATCTTTGCTCAAGCAGCGTAAACTTCTCAGCTATTTAAAATATGGATCAATCGTGTTATTTAAGCAATCGCCAAGGATGTGCTGCCTCTATTTTGAACTAGTTATTTCTAATGACGCATGACAGTGGGTATCCGATTCTCCGACGCTCTTCTCTGGGATTCTCGTCAAAGAGCCGAGTCACAAAAATTAGTCAATGACAGCTTTGCAGATCGATGATTGGGAGCTGCGCAAGAGAATCGGAGACACGCTGTAACTACACAAAACGATCAGGTATTGTACATTTGTAGAAAAGTTCTGTTTTCGTGTTAAACTAGTAAGCAATGATTTGTCTGTAGTTCTGCCAAAAAACAGCAGGTTTTACTTGTAAAAATCTTGATAATTGGATCATAATTCAGTTTTCATTACTTGCCTTGACAATTTGATAGCTGCAGAGGCAAAATATCAGGATCGACGATAGTAATTGTACGAGAAACGGCAGATTAAAAATATCTTCGATAGTTTGCGCAAAGCTATAAGTATGAGAAGACCGTAATGATATTTCGGAATGAGTATGTGTGACGCGTGATCATAATTTGTTCTGATTGGTATAGTTGAGTAAAGGCATACTGACCGCATGAGAAATTCGTGCCTCTCCACGACGGCCGAGAGATTTAATGCGCTATCGGGATTATCTTTAGAGCGAGCAGCTTCTGCCAGTCGACGCTTCAATTGGCCCCTGAGATTCCGCAATTGAGCGCACAGATGCAACACAAGCGTGGAAAAGAAGCCGTCGATCAGGCTGAAAGTGGAGGATGAAAAGAGCGTTGAGAGGAATTGGAGGATCCAGGTGATTTCGTAATAAGGCGTTCTTTGAATGTCGTAAGGGAACTCGGCTTTCATATACAAAGGGCGCACTCTCTCGCTCGCGTTGATCTTGCCTTGCTCAAACAGCTGCGACTCTTTCCAGCGATAGTAACTGTTGACTATAAGGAAGCTGAAGACCGCCGATTCCACTGACCACAACATGATGATCGTTATCGATCGGCTGAGCTTGGCGGTCTTTCGTGTTATTTTTCGCTCCATTTCTGTCATCGCTGTCGTCCAATCCTTAGCCATTGCGTCGGCGAGCCAACCTAGAGCTTCACTTTCTATTCTTACTCTTTAACTTTAATGTATGTGTTCTTCCTACCGAAGGGCATATACAAAGCTACAATTGAGTAATGTGTAGATGCTGTTCATCGTTATTAGATATGTTATTCCATAAATTTTTCTACATTGTTTTTCATTACTCAAACTAATGTTACTGTGTAACAAATTCGATTTTATATTGATAGATCGATTGAAAAAATAGCTTGAAAAAATTGGTTGAAACTTTAGCTTTTTTTGCCTGAACTTTCAGAAATAATTCTTCTTTTTTTTCTTTTTTTTTGCCCCAATGCTTCAGTTTTGCATTGCCAATCCTGTTTCTACTCTTACAGGATTTATTAGCAATTTCATAATGCTCAAAAATACGGAAATGTTAAATTCAAGGCACATTTTTATAAATCAAATAATACGCATACGTATTCGGAAAAACTTTCTGATTTTACAACTAACTTTTCACATTATTCCAGCAAATATTTCCAATGTTCATTAACCTTTAGGGAGAATCAATATATTGACGCTACCCCCGATTTGATTGACACTTTCCCTATGATCAATCAATGATATAAGATACCTTTTATACCAGTTTTCTAAGGGCGATATGCCCCTTGAAATCCCAGCCCTCTAAAGGTTAAGAAAAGAATCACTGTTATAAAGCAGTCGGATAATTGAAAGAGCCTCTTCAATATGACGAGTGAAAATACGAGTGTGAATCATTATTGTAATGAAAAATGAAAATTGAATGTTACTAAAAAAGTGTTGTCGATTATACGATAACCGCTAAACTTGTGTGTATTATTATTACTGCATACTCAATCACAATACATCTTAAATATCGAAATGCTGTTTAGTGAAAGAAATGGCTTGTCAAATACCTTTGTAATTCCGCCAAAAAGACACAGTTTTCAATACTGACATCATAACTGCAAGATTGCAGTTTGTTATAATTTCCAACAGTTCGTCGAAGTCGTTCTTAACTTTAAATAACTTGACAGTTTGCGGAATATTGCAAAATCCCATGACAACAGTGAGTAATATGACGAATCGTATGTAAACGGCGAAATTCCTTTCTTTTGGCCATATCCCATAGAAGCGCATGGCCGTGCGGCATAATCCTATCTCAACATTGAAGTATTCGTCCATTTCCTGAAAAAACGAATAAAGTTCGCACGGAATTCGCTGGTGAAATTGAAAGTAGAAGGTTTCAAGGGAGCTGAAGCTCTGAATCTACTGACGACGCACGTACCCCGATCATTCCTTCCACCTCGGCGATCGGCTTGCATTCCTTCCTCCCCTTGAACATTTAACCAATTGTTTTGCATATTCATATTACATCTGCCAGCGAAACGTTCACTTTCCACTCAGGCAGCCCGCGCTTACGATTTATTAATTCATACTCGCTTCAATATTGGACTCGTAAAAGCGACGAGAGAAATAGCAGAATTCTACGGCAAATATGGCATCATTGAAACTTTCACGACAGCCACTAATGAATTTAAAATGAAAAAGAAGTCTTGCTACTGCTTCAGCTGAAGTATTGTGTGTTGAATTATTGACAAGCATCTATGCATCATTTAATGCGATAAATACGCTTGCTTCGAATATGAAAATAAAATGTTACGCGCAAAGCTTTTCTCATGTACTCCTCGTCAGTACCTCGCTTACTTACTCATCGTCAACATCCTGTAGTAGTGTAGCGAGATCAGAAGATTGTATATTGAAATGACCATATTTTATTGACGAAGGGGCATTAAAAATTTTATCTATGCATAAATACCAATGATAAGATTAAGACGACTAAAATTCACGGAAGTAAATAAAAGATGAACTTGGCACAGTAAGCGATTAACCAAATCTTATTATCTAGCTTATTGTATAGATGATCATGCATATTGTAAGTAAAATAATCAATGAAATTTTAAATAATTTACGAGTGAATTAGTTATCGACTATATTTTGCAGCGACATGCGTTCCAATAAGAATGACACATGTAAGTCTTAGACTTTATATTCTCATATTTATAGAAATCTCTTATACCGAAAAAGTAATTTTATAATCCTTTTGTTACAAAAAGAGAATTCTATTGTTACACGAGTAATTTCACTCGGGACTGTTTTGAGATTTGCGGCAAGAAAACTCCTATATATCCTTATAAAAGGATTTTTTTCCAATAATCGATTTTATGAACAGCATATTTCTCGTAATACCGATAAGTTTAGTATTCAATATAATCAATTTACAATATGTTCTATAATTAAGGACGATCAAGGAAGATAAAGGTCATGAAAAATGAGATTCGACGAATATTTTTTTGTAGCGTATATTCTACTACAAACCAATAAGTAATATTTTTACCACAGAAGGAACTTACAAAAGGACCCTTCTCTTAAAAAAATAAATAATATTTCAACTACATTGCGCGTAAAATCCTCTTATATCAAGGTAATTACTCGTATTATAAAAAGATGTTTTTCACTGTATGTTAGTAAATACATGATAATTATACATATATTTTACAGTAGTTAAAGAAATTAAATCGATTATAATAAATTCTACACTCTAATAATAAAATTGATAGAAATTTTTATTTCAACCAATTTTGATACTAAGCAAATCAATTCATTTCTTATATTTCAACACGGCTCTAAGTCGATTTACCAGCGAGCATCATAAAGCTTTCATCTGGTGCCGTCTATTTATAATACCGAGATAAAATATTGTCACTACGAAATCGAAATTTGTACCTTTATTGAAAATATTTTCGTCGTTTGTGATTGATACAGAATTATATTATTTCTAGTTTTGAATATTATTAGTTATCTAAAAAAACGTTTATTCAACATTTTTTTCAAATTATTTAACTATCATTTCTAAACAAATATCATGCTAAATGATTTTGATAATTTTTACTTACAATTCGCATTTCAGTAATGTGATATAATTACATTAAAAGAAATTGATTATAAACTTCAAAACATGATGAAGGATAAGATTCAAAGAGTTCTTTTTTGTATTACAGGAACTTATGTAAATTTACACTCAGTATAGCTAAAAATAATTAAAGAATTTACCGAAGTACGAAGTCTATCCGAAAGTATCGGGCCCACCTTTATATCTCCATGCTGGGGTTATTCTTCATCATCGGGCGAGAAGCAATCTTCAAAGTAATCTTCACTTGATTGTATAACACGGTTTCAGCGATGTTTCCATTTCTCGAAACAGTCCTGAAACTCATTTTTAGGCATGGCCTTCGCTCTTATACGAGCTCGTCGTAAAATTTTCAATCGTCGTTTTGTTATCGAATCGTCGTCCTTAGAGGGATTTTTTGAGTTTTCGAAACAGCCAAAGGTCACAAGGTGTTTGACTATATCGGGACTATACGGAGGTTGTCGAAGCAATGAGATACTGTGTTTACTTAGAAACTGCTGTACTTCGATGAATGCGTTGGCGCATTATGGTGATGGAGAAGCCAGTCACCACTTGATCAAAAGTGCGGGCGTTTTCTTCTCACTGCTTCACACAAATCTTTCAAAATTTAAATGTAATATTCTTTATTGATTGTTTGACCTGTCGGTGCATATTCGTGGTACACAACACTTCACAATCGAAAAAATCAATCAACATTGACTTAATATTGCTCCGACTTTGACGTGCTTTTTTATCATCATCGTATCATCGTTATTAACCATTACCAAGTTGTCCAATTTCTAAATAGTTTTAGTAGCGATTTCTGGACGAAGTTTTTTATGCTTTGCACCAAGCGATTTCGGAATTTCGTAACTTCTCACACACGTGTGTCATTTGTAAATTTGAAGTTAAAATTTTTCAAATTATAGTTTTTGATATTCCTAGGTTTTCTAGTTCCTGCATCGTCATACAACGATCTTGTTCGATCACCAATCGCACCCACTTAATATTATCCAATTTATTTGTCGTCGAAGGTCGGCCAGAACAAGAATTACTTTCAATAGAAGTGCGGCCTCCCTTGGAACGATTATACTACTTTTTTATTTGTATTTTCCTCATACATTCATTCCCAAAGATCTTCTGCATCATTTGAATAGTTTCCGAACTCATTTTTTTTAGTTGAAAACAAAATTTAATACAAATTCGTTGATCTTATTTTTCAGTCATTTTTAACAGTCACAAAATCTGCCAAACTCAAAAATAGCTTTGTAAACAAAGACACACTGCGTATGAACTATACATCCGACAGATATCAACAAGTACGTAGCTAATAGGTTCATGAGGCGTTAATGTTGACATTCATGCCCCGCAGTGGTTGTTTGAACATTATAGCGCGGATGTAAAGGTGGGTTTGATACTTTCTGAACAGGCCTCGTATAGACTAATATTTATATTTACAGAAGTACTTTGGTAAGTGAATAATTAATCAAATGAACTACACGTAACTATGCAGAAATAATGTCCCGATTAAAGTTAAAGTTAGATATCAGTTATGGTGATGATTTCGCATATGCGCTTATCGTTTCAAAATTACATTTACAAATTTTCATCTCAATTCACTTTCGCTCAAACGTTGATCATTGTGCACGAACATAGGGAATTCTCTGCTTGATATGTTATTTAAAAATTTTAGTGCTTACCCTGTAATTGGTTTACTTGGCTCCCCTTAGATGATTTGTGTAGGCAATTCATGATCATATAATATTCTAACTTTGATAGAATTCTTTTGTGGTCCTTAAAAATCAGTATGTACAAATATAAGCTTACAATAATGATGTCTACATTTGACTAGGTATTGTTTATTTTCGTAATGGCTTGTCACGTGTGTGAATAATTTTACATGACTAGGGTAAAATAACTCGCAAGTCAGCTGTCTCTTTATCTCATTCTCTGTATTCTGCCAACAAGTGACGGAGCGTTGACTTGACGTTATTGAACGTCATACGAAATTTTACTCAGACTGTATTATTATCTTATCTTTGCTATTAATAAACTTATTATTTAATAGTATTTGACTTCTTTTGTAAGCTGATTTAAATACGATATAAAGCACTCGACGCTTCGATATCTTCTTCCTGTCTAGTGCATGAAATGAACGAGTGCAAACGTACTTTGTATGCTTTGCTCTTTGTAAAAATAAGTGATTTGGTAGTGGTTGAGTTGTTATTTTCATAATAAAATTTACCCAGTAGGACTATGAATTTTAATACCGACTTACAAAGTTGCAAGTGAATCGGTAGTTTGAAAGCCTCTCCTATCTAGTCAGTGTGTGTACCAAAAAAAAATACGTAAAAGTATAGTAGAAAATTTGTTCCAGATAACCTTACATTTATTTCACTAATTCTCATAAATTACGTGGACAAATGTGACTCTGTTCCTGCGATCAGCATAACTTGAAAATCTTAGTTTTCCATGGCACCTAGTACGACAGAGAGGTTTTTGGCATTAATCAGCAGAAAATTACAACTGCATACGCCTACTACAGCTATGGTAATTATCGTGACATACGCTGTTCTATGCTCATAAATAAATATCAGCTTTTGTGATTTCCAAAGGAACTATTCAAGCTGGAAGGAAAATCACATTGAAATGCTCAAATTACCTAAACACCTCCACTCGATTGAACATGTTGGATTAAATCGTTAAATTAAATTCGTTGACTTGTTAAGTGATGGAGTACTTAGTCCGAATCGTCCAGGCGAGATGTATATTAAAACGTCCAACATCAGCATTGGTTATTATATAAATAACAAAACAACCAAACAAGCTTTCGAAGTAAGTGCTATTTGTTGAAAAAGTCGATTCAAGAAGTTGACTTATCGATCTAAGAAGGCAAACATTTTTCTTATGGAAACAAAGATTCTGTGTGACGTTGCGTCAGCTCTGATCTAACGACAAAACAACTTTATTGTTGAAAAAAGACACACATAGTTACGGCTTACATATTAAAATATGTATAACGGTTAACGAATAATACATCCATCAAACAATATGTACAAGATAAAAAGTGCGTCCAACAGACAAAAAGGACTATCAGGTTGAAATTAGCTGAACACGTTCATAATAAGGACCCCGATTCTGTTTTTACGAACCATAAGAGCGAAACGAACCGATATGAATTCAAAAATGTTCCCATATTCAGAATTTTATCCATGTTCAGAGTTTTAGTATCAGTTATAAAAGTTACCCTCCCTCGTGCATCGTTATAGTAGGGAAAAAACTCGCACACTATTGCGCTTGCCCTAAAATGAATTATTTATCCAACATATTCGATAGTTCAGCATCATATCAAAAAGATTGCTAAGAATAAACAACTTCTCAACTCATTTAAAACGCGATGGTTTCTCCATTTTCTACATACTTTTAGGCAAATACATTATGTAATATGCGTTAATTGTTATATGTGTTTAACATTTATGCAACAGCTACGTATGGCTTCTTTAAATAACAAGCTTGAAAAAGTCAGAAAATCATAGCTTACAAAACGTGGCAAAGAATTTTTGCTTGCTTTACTTCCGTAAAAACAACCTTGTCTCAGATCGATAAGACGATTCCTCAAATCAACTTCTACAACACTCATCCCAATCAAGGGAGATTATCAATGTAATTAAGTTAATGATTCAACAGGCACTGTTACTATTAGTCAAAATATTTAAAAATTTATTACAATGCTAGTGACTATTCTTACAGGATGGTGCTGTACAGAAGAGATTGAAAACAACAATTAACAATTAACAAAATTTAGTTATTTTGAGAAGATCAATCCATTTTATCCCTGAATTTTAGAGATAGAAAGATTTTTTATTTACGTGAAAAATATATATAAATAAAGCCTAAAGTTATTAAGCCCATATCTAATACTTCGATCATGCGTTTTTGGCTACAAGAGATTCGAAATTAAAAAAAAAAGTTGTTGATCTGAAACACTGATTTTTTTCGATATAAATATTTGACTTTCGGGGTATCGTTTTACTACCATAGGTAACGACTGACAATAGTAATATTTTTCTTAACTTCAACATTATTATTATGCTGTATAGTCACATTTATCACTGTATTTGTTTTCGTGATAAACCTAAATATTTTTTTCTTTTTCTACTATACATTTAATAACACCAGGATTTATTCATTAATAAAAAATTCATGTTTATTTGGTATCTAAACGGTATACAATGGCTATCACCTAAAGACTACATTTGCAAGTTTTTATCTCCGACCTATTATATATCTTAAATACGTATTATTAATTGTTAGCGAGGATAAAGAATGTTATCTTTAATCTATCATCGAAAAATCTTGTACATTCTCAAGATAAGTAGCGAAATAAAAAAACTTGCAAATCAACTATCTCTGTCTCCTTTTCTATATCCCCTTTTCTTCATCTAATTAACTACGTTACCGTGTGCACGTGGAGTGAACGCATAATATACGATGACTTGACGCTATTGTGTTAGCCGTGACTACACTATCAGCCAACGAGAATAGCAAAGTCATGGAGATAAAAATGTGTTAAATCAATTATATGAGAATCATACAAGAAGCTTATAAACATTGAGAATCATAGTGACTTGAAACTTGACTTGGAAAAGTATGACTGTCTTGTTATTGCCACTATCGTGACTTCTCTTATAAGCTGATTCAGGAACTATATAAAGCATTACGACTCAGAGGTTTGTTATTTACTCTTTAAAACTGTGCCTGACATGAATGAGTACAAACGTACTTCTTCAAGTTTTGCTCTTCGTAGATAAATAAGTGATTTGGTAGAGGCTGATTGTTTATTGTCGTGATAAAACTTACTTAACAGGACTATGAATTTCACCATCGAAAATAATATTCTCAAAGGTGCCAAGAAACCTATAAGCGAGGATCGTAAATTAGGTCAAGTAATTTGGAATGTTTTGAACAAAAGTCCTGATCATGTGGCGCAAGTAAGTAGAATAGTGTGGATTGTTAATGGCTAGTTAAAAATCCAGTTAAGTTTGTGGTGCACGTTTCTAGATTGACGCCGAAACCGGCGAGCAAACTACGTTCAGTCAAATGAAAGATCGTAGTATTTGCTGCGCCGTGTGGATGAAAGAACTGGCCATCCGTCCTGGTGACGTAGTGGTGGCGGTAACCCACAATCATTTGGACTGTTACCTACCGGTTTTTGCTACTTTTTTCGTCGATGCCGTTTTCAACGCATGGAATCAAAATATCACATTATGTAAGTATAATACTCATTCGTATGTGATCGAGTAATAATTAATTGATGAAATTACATACTATATAGTCTCGGCGCGACGATTCATAAAAATGTTCACTCCGAAATTAATATTCGCTTCCGAGAAAGTCATCGATGTACTCATAGAAGCTGCAACACTGGAGAACTTGAAGGTTCATTTTGTCGTATTTGGAAAACACTCGAATGTGCAATCTTTGAATGAAATTTTAAATGAACAAACAAAAGAGGAAATCGATAAATTTACGGTAGTCGACGAGAGAAGTGCACAAGACGTGGCAGCAATAATGCTGTCATCGGGTACCACTGGTTTTCCAAAAGGAGTCATGTTGTCGCACAGATCGATACTAATGGCAAACGTATCAAACCAAGGGAGAAAAATTTCAACTTATCTTTGGTACTCGACACTCGATTGGGTTAGCTGTATTTCTTTTATGTTCCAAACACTACTGAAATATAGTACTAGAATCATATCTCTCCGCATTGACCTTGAAAGCTTATTTCAAACCATTGAAAAGTACAAGGTACGTTGTTCAAAATTATATATTGTAACTGCTAAGGAAACGTGAAAATTAATAATTTCGATGTGAAAGGTCAATTTTGCTTTTGTTCCACCGATTCTCGTGAACTATATAGCGAAATGCGATATAGTTGAAAACTACGATCTACAAAGCTTAAAAATATTCGTAGTCGGCGGTTGCAAGCTCACACGTCAAGTTCTTGATGCTGTACAGCAAAAATTTCCAACTGTATTTATCCACAATGGCTATGGTATTATCACTTGTTATAATATTCTATGCTCATAATTAGATGTAGACAATATAAATGTCTGTAATTATCAAAGGATCAACTGAAACTGGAGGAGGAGTTTCTTATAAAACGGCCGAGATGTCAAAAAATGTGGATTCAATCGGGTTTGTTACTACGAATTGTCAAATCAAATTTGTCGATTTGACAAGCGGTCAAGCACTTGGATCGAATCAGCAAGGCGAAGTATGCATTAAAACGCCTAACATTACATTAGGCTATTACAAAGATCCCGAAGCAACCAAACAAGCTTTCGATGAGGATGGTAAGCGGCATAATATAACTCAAGGATGTTCTCCAGTTAAATGAAAAACAAGAAATTGTTTTGCAATGGAAATATGTTGTAGGCGAAGTAAACACAAGTGCTTACTTCTAAAAAAAATCCTGGCGCAAATATTTAATCAATTAAAAAAAAATCATATTATAAAAATTACTTCTCTTCATAACGTTTGATAATCTTATGACAACGTGCGCTATTCAACTAATATCTCATGAAATTATAAAACTCGCTAACAAGATTTTTCCTTAAGACATATTTTGAATTGATTATCATCGGAGGCATCGCAACATGTTTGAAAAATAGTATACATCCAGGCATACTAAGGAGAAAATATACGGTCAAGTAAAACAAAAAGCAATGGTTTTGATGATGTTTTTAAAGTTTTGATGATGGTATTTTAACAATTTTTTTCAATATTAAAAAAACCTAGTATTATCTTTTTCATATTTAATATTATTGCATTGATGTACAAAGTTAAAGCAATCCTCCTATAGTGTCTCGCTTCACTGGAGAACATTCTTAAAATATCATGTAATAAAATATTGATAATGTTGATTGCATCTAGGATGGTATCATACTGGAGACATTGGTTACTATAACGAAGCAGGTGAAATATTTATAGTCGACAGAATAAAAGAGATTATTAAATATAGAAACAGCCAGATCTCCCCGGCGGAGATCGAAGAAGTTTTGTTATCCCATCCAGAGGTACGTGAAGCAGCTGTGGTGGGAATCCCACGCGAGCTTGATGGCGATTGGCCTGTAGCTTTCGTGAAAAAACTGCCTAGTAGTCGAGTAAGTTTATATTTTTGTACATGATGCTCATGCTATAATGTTGCCTTGCTCAATGTCATGATAAATAATATAGCTGCAATAGATGACATTGCAAATACGTCTTTCTCACTTACGTATTGTTTTCTCAATAATCCAGCTAAGCGAAGATGATCTCTTCAAACTCACATCGATTCTCGAGGACTATAAGAAATTACGTGGTGGCATCTATTTTCTAGACGATTTGCCACGAACTGGATCTGGAAAAATAGCGAAAAAAGAATTGAAGCAGCTAGCTCAAAATTTGATTAATCAAAAATCGTTTTAATTAATTTTTTGAGGGATCTACATTTGAAAAGAATCGCTACCGCCGTTGACTAATCAGCTGTTTTTTATGTGTACTATTATGTGTACTATTATGTAAATATGATGAATCTAATGTGTGTTTTACTATAACAGGATATGCGAATTGTTTAAAAAAAGTATTATCCAGCATGCACATACAGTATTAATCTCTCCGCATGAGTTTGACGAATTTAAATAAAGAATTACGATAATTAATAAGGAAATACAAAATAATTATCACTGTTAAATTCAAGTGAATTTAAAAGGATAAACTCGACGGTATTGTTAGCTTTACGAAAGAACTAATTAATCCACAGAATTGTTTGAAACTTTTATTGTTTGTGTATACCTGTGATACTACTTTCTAATAATATTTGTTCGACGTGTTATTTACTTTTATGTTATATAAAAATTGATAAGAATGTATATCTACAGTTGCAAAGTTTATATTGACACCTCATTCAATAATATGTTGATATTAATTAAGTCTTTGACCAATGAACTGTCGAAATTTCATGACAAGGCCGTATAAATACTTCTTTAATCTAACACTTCTAAAATAATGACATTTGTAGAATAATAAATTATTCATCATACATCAGTCATTATTCGTGCTGTATTCTGTACGTACATGATTAAAGTTGACTACTCATTAGACTGTTCGCGAATAATTTCCAGTACTCGATTGTATAAAACCTCTTTATCTTCATCCAGCCACATATAGTCCAAGTGGTTGAAGTTAGTTATTTTTTCCAGTGCCACCACATTGGGGAAAATGCTGCTCAATGTTTCAACGTCCTACAATCAGACGAGTTTATATACGTATAGTCAGAATTGAAAGATTCGCAAAATATAAGAGAAAATATAATTACGCACTCGGACATTGGAATAAACATCGCTGTCGGAGTAAAATAAGGCTTGGGGCGAAGTAACTCTGGTCAAATCATACTTTGACGGTATTAAAGAATCACGTCTTATGCTTAATCTGAGAAATCCAAAATTGTAAGGTCTAAACTCTCCTAAAATATAGCTTAATAGATCACTGAATTAAGAAAAAGTTGTATGGCAATAACATTCTTACCGGTCTTTAAAAACTGAGCATATTGATCTACCATGAAATAAGAAGCACCTGCTGGAGCGTACTTTAGTATAATTGGTATATAAGTCTGTGTGTAACAATAGTGTAATTACTATAGAGCAAAATTTCAATATTTTTTATCAAATCAAGTCAAAGAAAATATTTACTGTATTCATGCGATTAACGTGAACGATGTTATTCAGAAAACCGTTACAGAGTAGTTGACCTGAAGTTTTAACGCACACATCTTTCCCAATGGTTTGAATGAGCTTCGATTGTGGTAGTATTTGATAGGCTTGACTAGACAAAATCAGAATCTGAAAGTAAAACGACACAGTAATGTCAGAAAAATATCAGTGACAGTAAATTCGATACCAACCTTTGCTGGAACTGATAAAGATAGAAGAGCCCTTGACAGAGAACTAAAAGGTGGGGTAAAAAGTACCACTGGAGCAATGCTCACAACAACGTGCATTTTATCATTGTACTCCGGTTTAGCAGATAGAAGCATGGCACTAAGTGTATTTCCCATCGAATATCCGATGTACGATAGCTTTGTTTTGTTCGTTTTTTCGAGAACTGTGTCGATGAACAGGGGTAAATCGATTAATCCTAGTTCATCCATGCTATTGAAAAAGAGATCTTGAACATTAATCGCATAGAGTTTTATGAATAGCGAGTAATAATGAAAACAATGAAATACCTGAAACCCCAATATTTAAGATTATCACTGTTAACTGAATATTTGACATGACGCCTGGAATAAGTGTTGCCGCGAAAATTACCTATCCAAACGTCGTAACCAGCGTCTGCTAACATGTATACTGAAAAACAATAACGGTAGTCTCGGTCATTTAATTGATAGTACGAAGTAAATATTTTAAATTCGAATCCAGCGAATAACTTCTTACGCAGTGCTTGTTGAGGTCCTAGTATGGCAAAAAAGTCAGAGCTTCCAAATAGACCATGGCCGATGTAAACGACTGATTTGCCGCTAGCTGCAGGGTTCGATGGACTTCCACTAACTCTGTGTAATGTTAAAATGTACCCATCGTGTGTTGTTACTTGATATTCCTCAGCAGTATATCCTTTGTATTGTTCGACAAGTCCGATCTACGAATAAATTATGAGAAACGTGTAATATTGAGGTCTATGTTTTTTACATTAAGAATATAGCAAAAATGACAGATTTAATATTAGATTTTACATAAAATGTAATTTGAATTAAAAAAATGTCTGTTAAATATGTATCGTATCTTCTATATCGTATCTATATATCGTAGTTAGAAGATTTGTCATAAACATGTTTTGTATGTTTCGAAAGGTATTTGGAAATTTTCTGAAAATCACTGTGCTCGAATATTGACTTCCATTCTGAGAAGTCTCTTGTGGTGCTTCATTGTACTAAATTAACCTCGTCATAAAGACCATCTGTAATCTTATTCTGTGATCTCGCGTTATATTTTATTTGATGTAAGTTGAACTCTGCCCAATCAATTAATTTCCGTCTAACAATAATACTTTTATGATCCATTTATTTTTATATAATTTTAACATAAGTTTACATAATATTAATTATTACATATAATTTTTGTAGAACTATGAATTTAGTTATGCGGAGGTGCTAGAATAAGTATTTTTATTTACAAAACAAACTTCTGAAAATAATAAGTGAAAAGAAATTCATAAAAGATAACGCACGCCAACAAAACTTCAAAATGTAAAAAACCCAGAAACGCGATAGTATATATCCGTAGGTTTTCGAAGTGCTGAATCCGAATGTGGCATCAGATGTAATCAATCACAAGTGCTGTCTTGAGATGGTTTTACTAGTATTTGGAAAAAAATTTATACACAGTATTACATAACCTCAAACATAGCAAATAATTGTGATTTTTGTACTTTTAGGTTAGGATATATAGAGAATCTCAGGTGATGGATCGATTCCGAAGTTAAATTCAGATTCAGTGCATCGAGAATATTTTCTGAAATATATTATCGCGTTTCTAGGTATTTTTTAGATGTCGGCATGTGTAATTATCCACTGTGGGTGCATCAGAATTATACATTAGAGTCCTTATGTTATTATAATGAACTAAATACAAAAATCATCAAACAAAAACTAAAAAAGTGGATTCTATAGGTTAGTAGTTAATGCTCTGTCATTATACGGACATTAAAGTCAATTGTGATATCTCGGTGATTCTGAATATAATAATTTGTTTTTATATTTTTATAATATATGAAATTACTACAAATTACTAGAAAACATTACGGAAGTTTAATTATTTTTACTTCGATTTGTTGTATGATTGCTGATTATAGTAATGATATTGCAGATTAAATTTCATTAATTCAAAATTATGACACTGCCGGTAATGACAATATACATTTATTTATTAATATAAATATATATGTAGATGTGCATTGTGGGAATGTTTATTTGAATATTATCTTATATCCCCGCACAAAGACAAAAATATTTGACAAGTAAGTAACAAGACGCTGTGGTATATCAACTTAAATCTAAAGACTAAGTTAAATTAATTTATATAATTATATAAATTCTTATGGTATATCATTACCGAACAATTTTATAAGATATTTTAATAAAAAGTTAAGTTTGCTGCATGTCGCTTTATAACTTACGAAATCGAGCACTGCATTTTCGGCACTCCTTTCGGTCATTTCTTTGGTTGTTCTAACTCTGACAATATTAGAATCTTCATTTTGAATAATTTTTCTAATAAATTTCCAAAAGCCCAACACTTGTGGCGAGAAACAAACAATGGCAAAAATTATTATGAAATATTTTTTCATTTTTACAAATTTTATCACTTTGCAGTTTCGAAATGAATTGAAGACGTAAGCAGAGAGCTCAAATAATCTTGGGCCGTTCAATTATTTATAAGACTTTTTCACAGCTGTGAATTTGCAGCTGTGTTTAAAGATAAAGTATTACGTTGATAAGGCTGACTTTGAAGGAAATGTAATTGGATTAACAGTTGCTTGACTTGGAAAAGGTATAATCCAAAGAGTACTGACATAATATTTCATGTATAAATAAAAGAAAATTTTTTCCATTTAATTCCTTTTTCTACGTCGAGAGTACTTATAACAACAGTTGTTAGTAATTGATAAAGCTTTTAATTCTGAACATAAAAGTTAACCCTTAAAGAGCTAACGTTTTATTAAATGGTAATAAGTATTTCGAATAGAAACAAATTAAACGTTTCTTCAATTTATTGCTGTAAGCAAAAATTAAATTTCCTTTGATATAAAATTATTTGATAAATTACATACAGCATGTGTGTGAAGTGACGAAAAAAATTAAAAAAACAATATATGGCCTGATACTTATTGTGTAAGTTCAGTTTCATTTACCGTTATTTGCATAATTGTATGAGTTTGCGTACAAAATATAGGTTTGCAAAATTTCGGAAAAAAGTTAAAGTTCCGACAATTAAAGTAACAATGAAAATAAAGTTTTTTATTGAATAAGATTTCGACGACAAGTTCACCGACCCATTTTATTATAAGTGATTTGTTAGTATTTACAATGAAATAATATTTTCAAAGAAAAAGGTATGATAGCCATACAAGTGTTAAATACATATTTTCATCTTTTTATCATGCAAAATTGTTCCAAATATTTACGCTACATTAACTTTCAAACATTTTTGATTTGCTGGATTCAGTGACGTTCGGCAGTCGTATAGTATTTCCTCCTATACTAATCACTACGATCACCTGCTGCAATACTAATAATTTACGATATTAATATTCCTTACATTCTTAGTGCTATAAACTATTTAGCCCTACACAGAAGTGTTACATCCAATTTTTTTATTTAATTGGATATTGAATTAATTCAAACGAAAAAAGTTATGAAGTTGACTTTCGGCTTATTATATTTTTATATCGTCGTTATATTGCTATCATCAGCAACTTTCCTGGTAAAAAACATGCCAAGAAAAAATTTCGATAGAATTAATAAAAAATGTAACAATACTTTTCTTTATTATTTTAATAAAGAAAATTGATAAATTTTTCAAATTTCTAAATATTAATGAAATCTAGAATACGTGTTTTGAGTTACATCGAATTTCGGTATATCAAATATCTAATGTATTCATCCACAGAAACATAAACAGTATAATAAACCCATAAATCCAAGATTATTTTGAATATAACGGAAAACGCAACAAGGCAATAGGACAAATAAACAGTCCAACTAAAACTACCTAACAAAATTATAGACACAGCAAATCAAAACAAATAGTTTCTAAATCAATTGAGCATGAATACATAGAAGTAGAAAACAAAAATAGAACATCAAAATGAAAGAGTCAAAACAAACAAAAGTGGCAATCAAATAGAAATTAACGTAAACAGATAGATACTGGTAATTGAAATGACACGCAATCAATCGCATTATTTACTCAATATAGAAAATAATACGAAAATAGAATTACAAGATCTACTCTCCCTGAATGATATTATTTCTAAACATAAGCTTATATATTAATATTAACGTCAATGCAAGAAGTTTAAATGCAAATTAGAAACTGTCAATGAGATGACGACAAATACAATTAACGTAATAGTATATTCGGAAACATGAAAATTAACTCATTGAATTAAATCATTGAATATAAATTTTATTATAACTACTGCAATATCAATAACACAAGTAAAGTTTTAAAGTACATTAAAAATAATATTGAATATAAAACTGAACATAAAATTTTAACATTTTTTAAAATATAAAAAATTAAAATATACTAAGCTGTGATATAACATTAAGTAAACAAACTAACTATACAATTACAAGATTATATAGATGTCATGATAATGATAAAAAATTTGGAAGAATATACAATTTCATGTAAAAATATAAGAAGCTACATAATTATTGTAATTATTGGAGATTTTAAGATTAACATAAAAAATTTTAAAAATAAAATACAAAATTTTTGTTAAATCTTGTTAATAAATAATATATATAATTATTTTAAGGGTTCACTGATCCATCTGAAAACAATCGAAATTGTAGGACCCGCATGGATAACGTATTTGTAAAGATTAATAAAACAGTGCAGGCATTTAAATTACATGAAACAGTAACGAATACAAATTTGATAGAAACAATTTACAACAAGAACAGAAAAAAATTTTTAGTTAATTCATAAAACTAAAAAAATTATCAAGCAAACGAAATTGGAATGACATATTGTCTATGAAGGATTTAGAATAGGCTATCGACAAATTAATGTATAAAATACAATAATCAATTAAATAATCAGCAAAAATTAACACAAAAATTAAGAGATAATAACCTAAGCAATAATGGGTAACTCTATAAATCATATCATTTTATAACAACACATAAATACTATATAAAACATATGAAAAAAGATTAAATACTATAATGAAACAAGTGATATTATTGAAAGAACAAAGAATGTTTGATAAAACAGGAAGTTTCTTTATTTATTTAAATCCAAAGTACAATACATAGATTATATGATTGTAATAAGTACACATATATTTCACAATAAAAATTGTAATCCAACAGAGAAAATATATTCTTGTTCGCTGGTCTGCACTATAATTAGAAACTTAAAAAATAAAGGAAAAAACTTAAAAAGTAAGACAGAAGCATAATGATTGAAATGGTTTAACTTCGTCTGTACAATAATAGTTTAATTTTACTGTTATTATAATCTTCTTCGTTAGAATCTGAGTAATGTAATAATCCTTATTCTCTTTTCTATTCCTTGCATAAATGATCTTTTCTGTGTGGTTAAGTCTTGCTGGACAAGTAAGACCTACTGCACACATTATTCTAGTATAGTGTGGCAAACTTGTTTGATGTAGTATAATTGAGTTACATTTGCAAAATCTAAAAATTATCATTAACAACTATTAGATCTTTATATTTTTTATTTAATTTTAGTGAGTATATTGGATTTTTCGTGCCTCTACCAAAATAGAGTAGTACTCTATTATTTCTTAAATAGTTTATGTCCCCGTAGGTCATCGTGATACAGTTTCGATCGATGCTGATTAGGTTTTCCAGGGGCAGACTCTATTTTTGTAACTTTTGCCTTGATATTATTTATTTCAGCTATTTTATTTATAGTGTCAAAAAGAGTTTCAGTCGATTTATATTTTTGATATTATTGTATAATGTAGATTTTGATATAGAATATAAAGCTTTTGTAAATTGTATTTTTTTGAAATCTTGTGATAATGTTCATTGTAATCATCCTGTTTTTTATTATCATGATCGCTTTGTTGATTAAATAATTTCATAAATTGATTTGCATAATGATACTAAAAGTATTTGAAAGTATATAAATTATAAACTAAACCAGTCAAAAGAATAATTAATTGATATAGAATCAATGAAAATTAGTGACAAAATCATTACAAATAAGAACAAAATTGCTCATACCTTAAATAAATTTTGTAGTACCAAAAAAGATTTGGAGCAAAAATAACAGTAGATATTAGAGAACTACAGCTTATAAATATAATAATATTAAATCTTATTGCTCCAAATATAATATTCGGAGCCGGAGATAGAACGTTACAAACTAATTATAGAGCTATATAATTAACATCAAAAATTGGGAAAAATTTTTTATAAAAATAAAATAATCTGAAATAAATAAATTAGGTTTAGGAAAAAATGCACTGTCTCATATCAGAAATGTAATAGTAAATAGAACAGATAATAACCAGAAAATTATATCAACAATCCTTCATTTGGCAAAAGCGTTTGATACAATGGATCATAATATATATTTTTGTAATTTATTTTATTTAATATCACATCGATAACTTGACCATTAACGACTGGAAATACATATTACAAAAGTTTTACATTAGTTTTAACTAAATATGTACAAGTAGTATAATAAATACATAAAAAGATCACTGTGATTACATAATACAAATAATAATATCTTATATTTTATCAAGGAGTTTGATGTCTGATAAGTAATTTATCACTTTAGGAAACATCTGAAAATCATTGAGCATTTTCTTGACTCTACTGGGTAGATTATTTTTTCTTCTTTCTTCAGCAAAAGAAGGACATTCAATTAGAATGTGTGGAATTAACATTCTAACTTTGCAATGATCGCATTTAATCAGAGCATGTTTTTCCAAAATGTGTTGATGCGTTAATAAAGTGTGCCTAATTCTCAGCCGAGTTAAAATTCTTTGTTCTTTTCTCGATAGCTTGCGGTTTTGAACTTTCATATAAATGTCATCTCTGATTAAGTTCAAGAAGGAAGGATTAGATTCTTTCCATTTATTTTGCTATTTCAGTAAAATTGCTTTAGGCATCATTTTCTGTACATTTTTAACTAGTAATAGAGAATCATCTACTAGACATCGATCGATAGTTGTCTATCGTGTTATTGCAGTAGTTCTCTTGAATACCAACGAGTTTAAGTTAGGAGATTTAATCATATAGTTAATCAATTTGTTATATATTTGTCGTAGTTTTGTATGAATAATTTAGGTAAGATGATCTTCAGTGTAAAGATTCTGCAGTTGCTCGAAAACATGATCAAAATTGACAAAAAAATGACATTACTATATCCTCTTGATTTGGCCAAATCAAGTGCTTTGAAAAGTAAAATACATTTTGCTTCAGTCTCGGAATAAGACCTATGTAAAGTGACCTGAATTTCTTCATTTTTATCCCGAAAGATTATTCCAGCTCCAGAACCTGAATTATTTTTAGCACCGTCTGTATAAATGACGTTAGTTGAGTCGAGAAGAGGATTTGAGTTGTGTGCTTGATTCGAGATTTTCATATCACCTACTTCAGCCGGATTAATTGGATGGACTTTAGGTAACGTTTCTGGTATTTCCATATAGAGTTCAATTAATATTTTTTCCAATCTTTTTGCGAAAAATTGAGTCTGGAATATTTTGAATATCGTCAGGGTTAACATACACTTGTTGGTGAAAACTTAAAATATGAGGAAATCCTGGACTAATGAAACCAGATTTAATGAAAGAAATTTTCAATTCTAGTTTTACATTGTATTTGTTTAATTATTTTTTTAGAATATCATGCGGGATGATCGAGCATACATTCGATAAAATTAGTCTTTTTGCTCGTACCATCAGAGGTCTTATTGACACTGGAGTTTCTTTTCTTGAGATTTGTTTTTCGTTAAGATCATCCGCTAATGCTTTGGAAGACAAATAAATACAAACATCCCTTATTTGATATTCGCGAGGTAAATGTAATATTTTTCGTAGTGGTAAGCTTAGCTATCTTGTTTACATAATCTTTAATTGAGCTTCCACCGATTAAATCTATAATTATAGCTTAATTTTTTTTGGGGAAATTGTCGATTTTAATTGCACTTGCATAGTTTAGTTATGTTGGCTTGTGAACCTCTGTAGTCAGAAGTTGACATGTTAAGAATCTGTGCTGCATCAGGTGCACCTACAACAGGTTATTGCGTAAATTCACTATACGTAATGAGAGTCAGAATTGAGTAACATGAAATATACTACACTATCGAAAAGAAAAGCACTCGCAATCACAACATAACAGAAAAGGTGTAAACACGTCTGACTAGTATGGAGATTGTAATCATAATATATTATTAAAGAAATTGGAATTTTTGAAAGTATTGCGTTGATTGAAGTTACAGTAAAATTTTTTATAGTAAAGAGAAAGTTAAATTTAACTAGATTATTGTAAAAAATCGGCTGCAATAGAATATTCATAGAACAATATACAAAATTTTGCAAGTAAAACCGAGATCGCAAAAAATATATCAATTTTCAGGACTACACTATGCTGATTAAAACTTCATTCCAAGAGCAGAGAGGTAAACAGAATTTTTGTTGTAAAAAAGAAGTTTACCATATTTCGAGAAAAATAAAATAAGAGACTGAAACACTAAAGAACTTAGGTAAACTTTCTTTCCTCCTCTGTTTCTGTATTGATAATGATTCTCTATCTTAAAATACGTAGTTTTTATAATTATAAAAATGTCTACTTTGCTATAAAAATAGTAAACATATCCTTAATCAATAAAGTTGTGAGAGATTTGAATCACAGTTATTATAGAAAGCGTGAATGTTAAAATGTAACAATATATTGTGTAAGATCACAAACTGAATTATCCGTAATCTTTATTTTATTTTTTTATTTTAATCTGGCTACGAGGATAATTCCTCGGCATTTCAAAAACAAGTGATCTTAAATTCTGGTCAATATCTTACGAGTAAGACTGCATTCGTTTGGTTGTTTTTATTGATTGATATAACGAATCAATGCAAAAATATCGGCGAGTGACGTGCTCAAGGTTGAAAGACTAATTACCTATCATCTATCAAGTACCACTTTTCGTTTGTATTTATCAATAGATTAATAACAGATGTTGATGAATCATTGGATGAAACGTAAAATTTAACTCGCAAGGTAGAATACTGCTATGTCATATCGACGATATGCGATTTCAATGCTAATATATAGCGTAACACTTATATATTATTGAGTGGATTCACTGCACAGTCACCAGTTGCCATTGGCTCGTTCAACTGAACGCATCGAGATAGTCTGCCTTCAGGCGCAGTGTGGTCAATCGGATTTGTTTTCTTAATTGCTAAAATGGAACGTTGGAGGGGGAAAGTGGCAGTTGTGACTGGAGCATCAGCCGGTATTGGTTTGGCTATTGCCAAAAGTCTGATTCGTGAAGGATTGACTGTTGTGGGCCTTGCCCGCAGGAAGGAAAAGATGCTGGTAAATTTCCATTCAGCTACGTGTTTTATGTATTATTCCAAAAGATATTAACTAAAAAGGACATTTTTTCAGATTAGAAATAGTTTTTTTGTCGATTATCGTACCATTTTCTATTATACTTTAATATTTAAATATTTCAAACTATCAAAATACCTTTTAAATTAGTTCTATCGGTTACACGGGGAAAACATATTTGCATAAAAATTACAGAGATGACTAGTAGAAATTACAAATAGTTTTTATAAGGTTCAGTAATATAGAAAATCCCTGTTGTATTTATAGTTCCGTAGTCAAACTTACTAACATTAGCTAAATACAATTAAAATACATTCTTGTTTGTAGAAAATACTTTTACATGGGAACTTTTAACAACGATGAAATTAATTAGTAAGCTAACTTTTTTTTAATGAATTGTCGACGTTGAGATATCTGAAGTCAGCTGTAGTAGCCTAGTAGCTAGTAACACGGTGCACAGTGGCCGTTCTGTCAATGAACTTTTTCCCTGAGAAACGAAGAGGTAGCTAAACATATACGACAGCTTTTCTTCCCATCGGAATTGTGAATTTCATTACGTACTCATTAACGATCTCTTCCCAAAAGCTTTTACGTGCTATGGACTCGGACTATTGTTCTTTTTACACGAACATAAAATTTAAAGAACAATTGTATTGAATAAATTGACGGCGTAACTTCAGCAATAAAAGACAATTGAAAGCACTTGATATTAATCTTCCAGAACGAAATGAAAAGTGTGAAAGGACCTGGAAAGTTCATCGCTAGAGAGTGCGATGTATCCAAAGAAAAGGACATCGACGAAGCTTTTGATTATGTCAAGGACACGTTCAAAACAATCCATATTCTTATCAATAACGCTGGCATCGTTAAAATTAATACGATCGAAGGTAATGCATGGGTAATATCGAGGATAATCCGAATGACTATTTAATTTGATATTCTTCAATGATCTAGATTCTGACTTGAAGGATATGCAACAAGTCATCAACGTCAATTTTGTGGCTCTTGTGCACTGCTCAAAACGAGCAATAAAATTAATGAAAGAAGGCGGTCACGAAGCACACATCATCAATATAAACAGGTACTGAGCGTTCTACTTGCAAACGTTGCCAATATAAGTAGAGGCACAGCTATTAACGGCACGTAACTCAATACAAAAATAATTATGCTATTATTCGACGCATCCTCCAATTATTGTAAATTAATGTTTTTTACGTTGAATATATATCATTTTTTTTCTGTGTTTCCTTAAAAACTGAAAGTCTTTATTGATACCCGTTTGCTTACAGTACTGCGGGCCACAAAGTACCAAACGTCGTATTTCCCGATGGCAAGAGAGTGGATTTGAATGTTTACTCACCCACCAAATTCGCTGTTACCTCGATCTCTGAAGTTTTGACTAACGAACTATTGGGCAGTAAAATCCGTGTCACGGTAAGAAATTCTATCATCATGATAATTGTTTTGTGCTATGTACATTTTCGCGTATGCATCGATCAAAAATATTTTCCATTTTTTAGAGTATTAGTCCGGGATATGTAAAAACTGAAATTGGAGGAGATGACATAAAAAGTATCTCTGGAAAGGAAGAAAATAAGGTTCCAGCTTTGAATGCAGAAGATATAGCGGATGCCGTTGTGTACATTGTTGGAACTCCTCACCATGTTCAAATAACTGAGCTGAAGATAAGACCATTGGGAGAATATTTTTGATTGTAAAATACTCGCGTTTTATCAAGCTAAATTTATAAGTCAGAAATATCACATTTTAAAATATGTGATAAAAAAATAAAATCGTATAGCCTGCCAAATGCATGAACAATTTAAAAAGAATGTTATCCTCATTTCACGAGTTGATGTACTAAATTGTCTTCACCATTCTTTGAGATTTTTTAATTAAAGGAAAAAAATGCACGGTTTTATTATATACACAAACTATTGTGCCCAGTAATATGGTATGAATCAGCGTATATTAATGCTGTTTATATTACTGTGTACTCACGCTGCGTTATTGTTCACAATAATTTGTATATATACAATAAAACTGTATGTAATTGTCCGCACGTCAAGAACAAAATCTCAATATTAAATCATTGTATATATATATAGTATTTGAAAAGATGTTCTATTGTTCTGTTGTTTTGTATAACTTCATAATTACTTTCATTACTTTTATCTGCCATTTGTAATAAATAAATTTTAAAGCATATCAAGCTCCGTATTGTTACCGATTATCCAATTGTCTGCCATGCTGTTCGTTAGTTACCAACCAGATAAAGCTAAATACGTTTTTAATCTGCTGAAAAATCACAATTTGTTTATCCAAGTTAAAAAATTTCTTTCGTAAACGGTATCTTGAAGAAGCTTATTTAAAAAATGTTAATAATGAAATAAATCTGATGAAATTTTTTTACATTAATATATCGGTGATTGTTAAAGCTTTTTGATCTTAATTTTTTTGATAGATACAATACAAATTACTTTTAAAATACTTTTTTTTTAAATTAGTTATTTTTAGAAGTTACTACAATTTTTATTTATGCATTCAAAATGAAATCATTAAAATTTTGAACTTAATATTTTTCCAACGTCGCAATTCAATTAGGGATAGTCGAAGGAGTTGGAAAAAATAAAAAAGATACTATAATTATTTTCGAAAATTTTTATTTTTTACTTTTATATTTTTATTTATTTATTTTGCAAATGTATTGTGTGAAGTAGCTAAAACAATTTAACTTTTTTAATCATCGACTCGTGATTAATTACAATTCTTTGTACTATATTATCAAAAGTAAATATCAACTTTATCAAAACTACTGAATATGTACACGTTGTAATTATTGATGAATATACTGGGATTATAGAATAGGTTAATTTATAATAACAATTTTAATGTATGTTACGTTTCAAATAATGATTAATAACTGCAATACTCAAATGTTCAAAGCCAAAAATAACAAAATACTACTTGATTATCACAGTTCGTGACATTTTATTTATCGCCGTTGACTATAATGAATAATATTTAGTGACTATTTTTATCCATAATAAAATGTTTTGCAATAGATCTACGTGAAACTTGTGTTTGCAGCGGAACCGATGACATTACTTTGTAAGACAATATCAGCTGTGGAAACAGTTGAATGGATTATCGATATGAATACTAATGAACAAATTTAAACATATGTGTGTGTGTGTGTGTGTAAGCTTTTTTGGTATAACATTTATTTGAATTATTTGTTCGGTAATTAAAGCTGTACTAATGATTCTTTGAGATTATATACAGTTTTAGTAAAGAAGATTATCCATTCACAAATTGGAATAGCAAAATTATTTGAATAATACATATGCTTCTTTCAATTTAGTTAAAAGATATAACACAAGGTTTTAGTATGTGATAGAAATTATTATATTACGTAATCAGAATGCGAAAAAGTTTCATTCGTCGTTAACGTATGAATATAACATTTCAATACATCATGCGGAAAGTGCGACTTTGATGCACGTGTGGCGAAAAACTTGTGTTCAAATTCGCGCTTTCCGCACGTTGTTTTGAAAGAAAAACTGTAGCTAACATGCTCGGAAAAGAGTTTTTCATTTCGTGTGCCCGTTGAGCCTCGCTTTGCTTCGTTCGGGCGTAAACCTCGGAAGAGATAAGAATCTACTTTCCCAGAATAGTTAGGTGATGTACTATGCTGCGTTATCACAGCTTATGCTCATAGTGATTGTTAAACAGATTCGCTTATACAATGTCAAACGTGACACACTTTTTTAATTCTGAATAATCATTTAACTGCAGAAACATTCCTTTTACTTATCAAAATGACGTCGAAACATGATAAAAAAATAACAAAAATGACGTATAAAAAGCAGCATATGATTAAAATTTATTAATTAAATTATTAATTTTAATGATTAATTAAAAATGAATATCTTGTATATAACAAATCGATTTGCGACAACCAATTTATACTTATACGATTAAGATATATGTGAGAGTGCACGAAGTATATAGTGGCACTCTGCGCGGAAATGCCACTGGGTGCTAGGGAAGCGTTTGTGTTAAATTAGATTGGTAAGGTTGTTGTTAATGTGTTCTGCCTATAGTCTAGTCGAATTGTGATTCAAGGTGGATGTGAACAATGTGAAATATTTTATTAATGAAATCGCTCAAAAATATTATCGTGAATAATATCCGACTCTTACTCGAAAAATATTATACAATTGATAAACATTCATAGAAACAAAGTTATAGTGTATGAAATTTGCAAAAAATGCAGAAGCTGCAAAATTTTATTTACCTCAACCATACTGGCAGAATAAATAAAAATAAAGTTGAAAAAAGCTCCCTTTTGTACGCCGAATCACAACTAACAATATCAATGGACATTAACAATAATTTGCACAGTCAACTTCATCATACAGTTAAATTATTGCTAGGGTTGGTCACATAGTTGTCATCATTATTAATTTATTGTTTCATCAGTGTCGGTAGTTATTTACGAGTCACTAATTGTACACAATTTTTCACACTTGTTTTTAATGCGATAAACTCTCATTTTGCAACGCTACATTTGTTGTAAAAGATCGATTTGCAATCGATTCGTAGGTCGGTCTTGTTCTACTCTTGTGACTATTATGTCATGAATGGCTTTCGTAATTTAAATAATGACGTTATTCATTAGCACACGTATTGTGCTCTTCATGTAAAAACTAATTTAGATAAAGTGTCGTTAAGAATATGTCGCTAATGATAAAGAATTAATTCGATTAAGGTGAAAAATACAAGCTCGTCGATGTCTCTCAGCTAATTAGACAGATTGGTGCAAAGGTCATAACGGGTTTGAAAACGTAGAAAAGAAATGAAAACTTTGCAAGTGTCGACATGAAAAATAGTCGATACCTTCATAATTTTATGGTCGTAAAATGACCCACTCTCGTTACGCCGAAATGGTTTTAACTGAAAACGACACGTGTTAGTCATAATGTGCTTTTCAAGACATGTGAATTAAATAAAGATTCCTAGACTGTAAATTTCTATTGAAAAGAAAAATCAATTTAGAATAGCGATACGATATGGCACTTGCTTACTTTAGATAAGAACTACATTGTTACTATTTGAGTTCCAAAAATAATTTATTTAAAAGGAGCTTGTATTATAATTTTTATTATCTTAATAGTAAATGCTTAAAAATATTGAATGATATAAATAGTATAAAAATAAACTTGATTAACGTAAAGCAAGATATAGTATTATAAAAAATTGCACAATTAACAATTTATACTCAAATAAACATATATGTACTTTGAATGGTAATTTTAGAAAGCTAGCGTTCTACTTACCTTAAACTTTTTTTTTAATTATTATGACGTGATACTGAATATTATAGAATTCAGAACAGTTGACAATGGAATATTACAGTAGGTGAGTATTCGCAGATATAATCCGACATATGCAAAACAGGATTACTACGTAGATTACCCATGTAGATGGTATGTATTTTAATTTTATTGTGTTGTTCATATTACTTTTAGCGACACAAAGCCTAAAGAAGACACTGATAGACACGAAAATTAAATTAAATAATTCTAGAAAAAAGTACATTGAGTAGGATAGCAATTGGCTTGTGTGTGTGTGTGTGTGTGTGTGTGTGTGTGTGTGTGTGTGTGTGTGTGTGTGTGTGTGTGTGTGTGTGTGTGTGTGTGTGTGTGTGTGTGTGTGTGTGTGTGTGTGTGTGTGTGTGTGTGTGTGTGTGTGTGTGTGTGTGTGTGTGTGTGTGTGTGTGTGTGTGTGTGTGTGTGTGTGTGTGTGTGTGTGTGTGTGTGTGTGTGTGTGTGTGTGTTGCTTTCGACTTTTCTACAGTGAAAGACTCAAAGTTTGCTCCATTCACTTCTGCAGCTATAATTGTATAAATATTTGTACTCAGATTTAACAACTTCATTTATAGATTCACGGTTACTGACAGAAATATTATATTCATTTTTTAAGATACTTTTTAATATTTTGAATATTTTTTAATATTTTTTAATAGTTTAAACTTTTTATGACAAACAATTTTCAATCGGTGACATTACATTTTTATATTTGAAATGGAAAAAACAAAGGAACATTCGAACGCAATTCCTTTCCGCTATAATGTAAATAGTTATGCTCACTCATAAATTGCACCTGTTAACACTAATTATCGTTTATCTGACCCCGTCAATCAAGTAACATATTTGATTAGTAAAAACTGAAATTACAAACTTGTACGGGGATTTCACGTGAATGTTTAATTTAATTTCCCCAACTTTTCTATTCATCAGGAGCATTTTTCCGTACATTTCACATCAACGTTGAAGCATCACGCAGAAGTTCATTTTACAATATCCGATTAACCGGACGTTTGAACAAATTCCTTTTTATTATTCAATATTTAATAGATGTGGATGTAGAAATATCTAGATTTTCCATTTTTTAATTTTTGTATTTTGTAAGAAGAAAAACAATGAAATATTTAAAATATACGCTGAAATATCCCTCGTTGCAATATTTTTAAATTTATTGATTGAATTATTCCTTAATAGTTTAATTGAATAAAAATGGTGATTTCATACACTGAATTATAAATTCCGTGAGATAGCATTTCAATATCATTTCGGAAAGCAAATAGAAAATGAAAAACAAATGTCGAACATAATGACATGTGTGTTAGGAATGAAATACGCGATAAAAGGAGCTATTACACACTCAAAAATTAATATAAGAGTACAGTTTAAGCGACACCACACTCGCAAGCAGAGTTCAACGAGAAAAAAAATGTTGCATGACAAAGTAGTTTTACTCACGATCATTGTTTTTTGCGTGGCGAAAATATCTGGAAAATTTGAGGTACTCAAGAAGTTATTTAAAACAATCAATACCAAATTCTAACTAATCTTATTTTTCAGTTTTATGAAGATACACTACATTTCCTCTTCACTTATGACGCCAAACTTCGCTCGGCTGTCAAAGTGGTATCGATTTGAATAGAAAATTATTTGTAAAAAGCACTTTGAGGAATTGTAACTCTATGACGTTTCCTTTTCTAAGTTACATAACTTTATTACTGATAACAGTAGTAATTAAAATTTGTTTTTAATGTTATCATCTAGCATAAAATTACCTGCTTGAATCACATCCATTTCTGTCATTATAAGTTTCCCAAGATGGCAAAAATAAATACAT